CCCCAGGCAGAAAGGGAGTCCCGTCATGGCCGGGCTCGCTCAGCCGTGCGGGGCGGCCGCCCGGGAGCCGGCGCCAGGGACGCGTGCTTACCCCTGGTCAAATGAAGGCGGTGCGGTAAGATCCAGCAGCCACCTCGGCAACCGCAGGACCCTAAGCTACCGCTGGCGTCCGTGTAGGCACCTGCGGCTGTGCCCAGCGAGGTGACTGGTGGCAGCAGGGCAAGGCAGCCATCGTTGTGGCAGTGAATGCAGACATAGAGCTGGCTGGCAGAGGAAAAACCAACAGTTAACTGATGCCTTGCCTTCAGGACAAGCTCTTGTTACTTACAGATGAAGAAAAAACTTGTTTAAAGATTTGTGCAGTAAGCACTGCTGATAAAGTTGTGTCTTGGGCTGTAACGACATCCCTGCAACAAACTCTAATTTGCATTGGAAACAATCCCTGCAATCTTAAGTTTTAGTTTCTAAAGTATTTTCTCCAAGTTTTCTACTACAAATACTCAGTACAAGTCCAAAATGGAAGTACATTCTGGAGAATTACCTAATGAACTAAACCCACCTACTTCCACAGTTCAATTTCCCAAAGCATCCAAGTATTTGTATACATGCACAAGAGATGTAAAGAATACTGGAAGGATATCATATAATACCTGACATTTAAATACTGATGGGATAGAGTTCCCCTGTTGAGTTTTCAGTTCTGAAATTTGCTTATCATGAATTACCTGTGGCAAAGCTACACAAAGCTAGCGTAAGAAACAGCCTTGCTGGGGGCCTTTTCACACCTCTGGGTCTTGCTGCTGCTGCATCTCGGAACAGCTACAGCCACACTTTGAGTAAGGTTCTTCTAGCTAGAAGCCAGAGAGAACGATCACATCTTTGGGAATACACCCACATTTCCAGCCATTTTCTGATCAACCGCACCACACTTAAAATGAGGCACCTTCAATTTCTGTACGCAAAGATGATCTTCAAAAAGAGTTTAGACCAGGGACATTTAAACAAAGTTTCCCTTCAGGTTTTGACTAAGAAGTCAAAAGACTGGCCCCCTAATTAAAATTCTCTGCTGGCATTATCTTCGTAAAAGGAGGAGAAGTGTTGAAGTTACATCAATCACAATACATTGTCATATGAAAATTCATATTTGTGCACTGCTCGAGAATGCACAGAATTTCCATGTGGCAAATTTGGTTAATTTATTCAAGCTTTGATCAACTGAAAGAACAGACATCCTAATTGCAAACAGTGGTACCTCTTTTTATTAGTACAGACAATATAAGATGCATAGCTTTTGCAATGAAAAATCATGTCCATGCTCTAAGACATCGGATTAATGAAAGGTCCTCAATGTCTGCCTTGGACAGAGGGACAAACTTCACAGTGTAAACTGATAATATAGGGATGATCATATGGCATTATTCATAAAACTCCCTGTTGATATTGTCAGACAAAAATCAGCAATAATTAAATAGGATGTGTTTAACCGCAGAATAGTTTCAAGTATTCAAGTACTTATTTTTTTGGTTGTTTAAAACCATCTGCTTCTCCTGCTCCCCCACTCGTTCCTAAGGAGGCACCAGCCACACAGGTGAAGCTAAAGAATGCTTTTTTGCAAGATACCTGAAGTTCTTCTAATGCAGAAACACTGTCCCAGAAGCAAGACTGATTTTTCTTATTGCAATAGACAGTGGTAGGAATAATTTTACCTCCGTGAGCATTACAAATACATTTTTTTTTTTAAAGTAATAAGTTATTACAGGAGAAGTTAAGGAAAGTTTTACGTTATTTGTGGGAATAGGCAATGAAAGAAGATGACAGTCTCATCATTTCATAATTCTTCTCTTACAAATGTGGGAGAACGCACCTAAACCATTTTGTTCTCAGGCAGTCTGACTGCCAGAGGGCAGCTTCTGCACATTCATCCCAGTTAGAAAGAGACCATACGAACTCTCCAATGAAATGCCTTTTCATATATTTCAGCGGTTTAGCAGCAATCAGGTACTGACTTCGTCTACAACGTCTACAAAGTGTCTGAGGCAGTCACCAGTTCAAACCACTGTCTGAGTGCATCACTGAGAGTTTCTGGAAGCGCATTCACATCTCTAAGGATCATGTAGAATGGGAATGGGAATTCTTCCATGTAAGATCTGATTTCAGGCAATTCTCCAGGTCCTTTGAATATAGGTACTTTAATGTCCAAAATGGAATCCTGTAAAAAAGAATTGACAGGACTACTAAACCACATGCATCTTTTACACGCCTTTGATGTTATTTATCCTATTTTTCAAATACTTAGAATTCCTTCTCTGTTAAATCAGAAGTTAAAAAGAGTTTTAAGATTAAAAGCCAAAGTGTTCAATGGTAAATCAAATCAAAAGCTGAACACAAAACAGTTAAATGTGGTCAAACATGGGAACAGGCTGCCCAGGGAGTTGGTGGAGCCATCATCACTGGAAGCATTCAAAAACTGTGTGGACGTGGCACTTCAGGACATGGTTTAGTGAGCATGGTGGTGTTGTGTTGATGGTTGGACTTGATGATCCTGAAGGTCTTTTCCAACCTTAATGATTCTGTGATTCTGTAAATGCTTTTGCCCTCTTCAATAAAAGTGCTCTAATCAATGAATTATAGGCTAGAAGAGACTAAGCTTAAGCTACTGCAATACCAAGTTTTATAAATAAATCCTGTCTTTCCTTGGTATTTTATGATTTTATTTTACAAGTTTACTGTTATCACTTCTATTTATACATTTGATACCTTTCTAGCACACTGTCATGTGTAAGCTCTTTAGGACTAAGAGTTCAACTTGCATTTGTGCAGTGATCTAATACAAAAGATTCTTTAGCAAATTATTTTATAATATTTCAACAAATACTACAAAGACAAAAGGCAGGTTGAACTCCAGCTGTGCTTCTTGTAAAGTAACTTCTTAGTTGCTCAGTGTAGCAGCTCAGAAAGTTAATAAAGCTTATAAAAAAAACACACTTCACTGCCTAGAATTTTCTCTTGACATTATAGCTAGGTTTCATCAGAACCTTGTAATATTTTGTCAGCAAAAGAATAACAGGTGGGTTGTGTGTGGAGAAATAAAGATATAGGAAGAAAACGTGAACTACAAAATCAGAGTCTTCACCTAATTCAAAGTAAGGCTTAAGTTTGCTCACTTACTGCACTACAGTGTCTCCCTGAAAAGCTCCTGGATATTTCAGCTTCCCAGCCAAGGAAATCTAATGGCTTGCTTTCACAGCTACCAAATACAGTACCAAGCTTACCCAGTTCAGGCACTAAGTAACTCTCATATACTCCTTCCTGTCTAATGTTTAATCTCATATTGGCTCCAGCTGCCATATCAAATGGAGACTGCTGTCAGAAATGATCAATTTGAATTAAAATTGAGGTGAACAAAAGCATTTCTCAAACTTTGAAATTGTCAGCCTGCCAGCTACTTCTCTGGTGGCCAAAATCTACAACCATTACATTTGAAGACAGAAGCTGTGGCATGGAAGTGGTTTTTTTATTTAAATACAAAAGAAGATAAGAATTACAGTAGGGAGAAATCATAAAAGATATGACAGATGTTGTGAAAAGCTGAAATTGGGCTAAATATCTTTGACCTCTGCAAAAGATAAGATAGCTGTAAAGTACTAAAAAAGACAAGAAAAAGATTTGTATGTGTCTCATTCACTGCATTTGAATTCCCTTGTTCACCTACTTACCCGGGAATTAGGATTGTCCAACACTACGAAAATAACAAAGATATTGGCATTCTGAGCTGCTTGAACTGCTGCTGTCACTCGTTCCTTGCCTTCCAAGAAAAGGCCTCTTCCATCAGATACAATCAAAAGCAGCTGCGCTGTTTCTGAGCACAAAGAACATTTTAAATTCCAGTAAGTTAGAAGTAATCCATTTAAAAGGCAAACAGACTATTTTGTTGTTAGTTCTGTGGGTGTAATGGAAAAACTCTCAGAGTATTCCTAAGGAAATTAAGTCTTTCTTAGATAGAATTCTATGATTTAACATTAAGCTGCCATTACAAGTGGGTCAAGAAAGACAGTTTTTCCCACTCTGTGATACCATTGAGAATAACTATGAGGAAAAAAAGCGCCAAACAGTCCATCAGTACCATAATCAAGGATGAAAGCCACGGAAAACACCTAATGAATTGTCATAGTCTTCCATGCCTGTACGTGTGTAGGAGTCAAATATTGGTTGAATTATAAAGAGTCCAGCCACTAGGTCACTACCTCAGTAGAGCAGCAGCTGCTGCAATGAAAGAGAGTCCAAATTTATTCCGCCAGAAGAAGGTACCTATGGATGCATCTGTATTAGCATTTCACTTTGGACTACGACTGTGCTTCTGAAGCATGTTTCCCTGTTGTCCCTACTTCAACAGGCTTGGCTTCCATCAAAGAACAATCTTGGATTATTTCTGGAGGAAACTAAACCAGAAGACAGGCTCCAGAGGCACAGTCAAGGCAGTCCAATCAGTACAGGTCATTCAGCTCTTGGGACCAGATGAGCTAGTCTGAAGTAAACCTCCTGAAACATGCACAGTACAGATGCTGGGTTCCTCAGCACCAACCATTTTCTGGAGACATGTAACTTGAGCAGTGTTGCCTCCCAGAGTCAGAGATACAGCCCTCTAAAGGGACATTCTAAGTTATGTATCTATTGACTTTTAATTACACGAGAAATAACAGTAATTACAGTCAGGAACACAAGCGCCTCTCTTGTTCCCCTTGCAGCATAATGGCTGGGAGGGATGCAGAACGTTTCCTCCTTTTCTGCAGACAGGTCCCAAATGTGACAGGGCTTGGTCTTTTTACAGAAAAGGGTTAATGTATCCTACTGCCTTTTCTCTTGCTATAACTCCCCGATTCAGGGGAGCTGATTGCTGCTGCATGCCAGTCCAGTTCAACAGGACTGGATGCTGCTCCCCCTCAGAATATTCCAACAGCCTGGCCGCCCTGTGGCAAAGCAGCTGTGCATTACAAATCCTAGATTATCCATTTCTTGGGGTACTTTAACAAGACAACCTTTTTAAAAACATGGGTGCCACCATGACAAGCTTTTAACTAGCACAGAGCAACCTTTTAGGCTAACTATGAGTCAGCCATGAGGTAACAAGCCTTCCAGTTTTCTGGGAAATTCAAGCAGCTCATCACCTAAACTTGCACCACAGTGAAAGGCAAACACTTATCCTCCTCAGAACAGTGTGCTTCTGGGTACCTACAGAAATCAAGCTCTCAAGCAAGAGCAGAAGTGCCTAGGGAGTCAAGGTCACTAGCAAGCTGGACAATGCTCTAAAGCAGGCCGTGTCTAGGACTTAAACACGACCTGGAAACATGATGTAAAGGGAGGCAGGTAAGGTGTGCCTTTTTAAAAAGCCTTAAACAAAATTTCAGTGAGTTATTGACAACTATGAAGTAGGCATCTGTGGGGTTTTGAGCTAAATTTCAACCAAACATGCCGTTTGACAAAGCAAAACCCAAAGCCCTAATGCAAGTGACATCTCAGTGCTAGGAGTCCTTTCTGGCAGGATATTGCTTCGGGACTGTAGTGAGTGTTCTGCTGCCACGGCAACAAGCACAGTAACAAAAAAAAAGCTCACCCGGATTAATATTTTGAGACAACTGCTGTGCTGCAGCAAACATATTTGCTGATGATTCTAGAAACTGCAGAGGAAACAAGAAAGAAGATTAAGTTAGGTCATCATAAAATAACGAACTTAATAATGATAACATTTTTAAAGAACACATTTCTGTATTTTAAATGCCAAGATAGTTGAGTCTGCCCACCTACACAGATAGAGTCCTTGGCATTTTCCTATATTAACTCCAGCTTCAAATTTAGTAAGTATTTTTGAACTACAGAATCTTCAGAAAAGCCTTCAATTTAGATTTAAAATTTTTCCAATGCTAGCAAAGCCATCAAAACCTCAGTAAATTGCTCAAGTGATTAATGACACCATTAAAAATATACATGCTATTTCTAGGTTCAACTTCTTTGGCTTCAACTTGCAACAGAGTATCTAGTTACATATTCTCCATTAAAAATAAGGGCATCAATTGTCAAGTCCTCCCAATTTCAGCATTTCTAATATTACTGTTGAGCTACTTGGGTCTCCTCCTTTTCTGTTTAATATTAACGGAAGATCTCGTTCAAGTGTGGAACGGTAACTCTTCAAAAATCTTCCTAAAAGAAGAAAACTTGCAGCTGTCCAGGAATTATGACTACAGAAAGTTATTTTCTTCAGGAATCAGTCAAGTCTGACAAACTTAGCCTGACAAACACACAAAGCTCTTCCTCCTACTAATACAGTGGAATCCATGGCATGGAAAACCTCCTTAACTCCCACAAACTTCGATGTGATTTGGCATTGTGATACCTAATAGCTTCTACTCAAAATACTGTTTAAGACCCAACGCAAACAGAGAAAGATGAATGCTTAAAAGTGGCATACATCAGAACTAAAGTGAGAAAACACTCTTACTATTACAAAATTGTGACCATTCTATCTCTTTGTTACCTAACCAGCTACTACACTCTCAAATACAAACAACCAGTAAAGGTTACAAAGTAATCATGAAACCCTGAAGCTGCTAATGTCTCCTCTGGAAAAGACTTGCAAATCTCTCGCCCTAGAGGATTCTTGTGTACCTGGGCTATTTTCGTTTTCTTCTGCTGAAATTTGCAAAGACGCAATATCCGTGTCCCTGACTGGTCACTGAACTGTTCATGGAACGGATGCAGCAGCTGAACAGTCTCTCCAAAGCTTTAGAAAAGAAGAAAAAAATAGTGTGAAACTGGTATTTACATTCTGCTCTGAAACCTGAAGAGAAGTGAAGATTTCCAGTAAACTCACCTACACACCGCAATTTGTCCCACTTCTAGAAGAGTCAGTGCATTTCCAATAACTGCCAGGGATTCATATGCAAGCTATTAAAGAAAAAAGTTACATCAAAAATAGGATATTCCGTGTTTTACTCACAGCTCAGTATTAAATATGAAGAATGTTATTGAAATTATTTTTCATTGTCTAGTAAAATAAATTAAGAGACTTCCTATCTTTTTTCCTGTAGCAGTTATGCAAGATGGTCACTGCAATAAAGATACACTAGTTCTACTTAAGGCCTTCAGCTGATTGATTTAGAGATACCACTTTAAGCAGGCTAATGAAATAAACACTGAAATAGCTATTTGGAAGAAAACACACATTTTTAATAAATAAAACCCTACACATGAGCTATGATGAACTAATATTTAATCCTCCAATGAACTGCATAGCTAGGGAAATTTTGGCCTTTTACAGGCTACCAAAAATAATTTTCCAGTGGATATGTACACCTCTAACAAATCTAACATCTCCTCCTTTCAGCTAACTTTCACTGATCTTTTAATAACAAATCGCTTAGGCATGAAACGACAAGAGTTCAAGCGCAGAGAAATAACCGCTCTAGAATCACCAGAGTCAGACTTTCCAATGGCCACCAGTTCTGTCTGAAACAAGTCAGCAGCTGACATACTCATCAACAAGGGGTAGATTCTTCATACTTCTTCCAAGGTTTTTATCTTACCTGTTTAGAGTGATTGTCTATCATACTAGAGGAATCATCAATAGCCAAGCAAATCTGGTACTGTCTTTTACTGGGCTTGGTCCTCCGCAACCAGATCTTATCCTTTCGGAACTGGCTGGCAATATATGGTATCACTTTGCGCATGTTCAGTCTCTTCCCCGTTCTGTAGTCTCCTCTGAAAATTAAGAAAAAGACATAATGGCAGGGATTATCTGTAAATAATCTCATTCTGGAAATCCCAGCCTATGCAGCAAAAAACCAAAATTTTGTAAAATATAATAAAAAGAAAATTAGCAGCTCTTACTATTCATATTCAGGTATAGATCAAAAAATCTTACATTTCTAATGCAACATGGATATGCAGTGTTTTTAAAAGAAGTTCTTAAATCTAGGTGCCTAAAAGGGAAGGAAGACCTTGCATTTAGACTCCTTCAGTTTGAAACAAGTTTAAATCTAAAAAAAAAAAAAAAAAAAAAAAATCACGTAATGTTAAAACAATGTAGAACATTTTGACATTTAAGATAATGTTTGACTCAACAGCACTTCACAGGTTTAAGTTGGTTTGATCACCTGTTGCACAGAAGAAAAAAATATTAGGCAATATCCTCAGGATGGGATACACACCACATTTGCATTTCATGAAATAACCTAGTTTTCTCATACAAAAGTAAAATGAATGCCTTTGCAAACACAAGTAATTGCTATAAAGCAAGAACAACAGAGAGCTGCAGTTGTACAGAGGTTAAAGCCCTCCAAAAACAAGAGTTTAAAGAAACTAGACACTTCAGAAAAACCCAACTTACTTCAATTTGGCTGCCTGAGTGGGTTCCAATATGAGTCGTAGCTGTTCACAAAGCTGCTGTGATAGAGGAGCTGTCAGTACTAAATACCTCTGCCACAACTGTGCTGCTTCCTTCTCCTAAAACATTATACATCACAGAAAGAAATAAAAGCGAATTATAAAAAAAGAAAGAGTTGAGAAGCCTGAAAACAGAAATCAAACCTCAGTGTACCAAGGGGGAGGTAGTAGGTAACTATCAGCTGGAACTGTGAGGGTGTCTTGCGAGCACTCTGTAAAGACGACAATTTGCATTCAACTTCGCATGCTCCTTGCTGCTACAAAGCTGCAGCGTGCCATGACCACTCCTCTAGGAGTACACAAAGCAGTTTTGGCATTGCTGTTGATATAGGAAAATCTTGTAATGGCCAGCATCTGATAGTTGGTATTACAGCAAAGCAAGCTGTAAAGTCTGCTAGGTTCTCTGTTGGCCATCAAAAATAGTATTACTTACATTAATTAAAATTCAGCAAAATTGTTAAGCCTCTATAGTGTGAATTTCATTCAGGAATTACTTCCAAATACAGTTCACAATTCATGACTGGGACCATCAGAGCAAGTACTGTATTCTGGCTCTGTGGGGGGTTAGCTCAAGCTCCATCGCTGCAACTGAAGGAGACAGCTTCTGTCCATCATAATTTTGTGAAAGAGGTGTCCAGCACTTAACTGCAGGTGACAACTCAAAAGGGAAGGAGCTTGGTAGGACTGAGAAAAATGCTTCTAATTCTGCAAGTTTTACAAGTCATTATCAGCAAAGTAACTTTCTGCAAATAGCACAAAGCACATTCAAAACAAGATCTGAAACATCATCCTGCTTTAAGAATAATGTAACTTTTTTTCAGAATAAGCTAAATGTAACAACAAAAATAGCAACTAAGTCATGCTATTTTGAATATTTAGATACCAGCGAGCTCGGCTTCCTCAATGCTTCAGCAGCAAAACACAATGAAATAATGCAGTGAAAGATTCTTATGACAGTTTTATACTAAAACGAGGTCACGAACCTCATCTGGAGTTCCAGACTGCTGTGTCTGCCAAGCTTCCAATTGCCTTTCAAGTTCCTTTCTTAGCTCTTCGGGATCTCTAACGATGTGCTAGAAGAGTAGTTATGAGATTTATGAGACAGAAAAATAAGTTCACACATCTGGTAATCCCCAAACTATAGAAAACTATGAAAAAGTAAAATGCATTGTTCTTATTCTTTTAGACACAACAATACCTGAAAAAAACTTAAATGAAGATTCTAAAACTCATTTTTTTTTAATAGCTTCCATGTACAGGAAGGATAAATACCTCCTCACAAATACCTGCATCTGTGACACAATCAACATAGAAGCAAATGTAAGAACATCTATGATACAGACCCTGAAAATAATCAAATACAGAATTTCAAGGTAATTCAATTAAATGATCTTGACTAACACCAGATTTAATAACAGTATAATAGAGATCAAACCACTGAATACTACCCATCTAGTATCTTCCAAAATATAATATGCTTCACTTACAGTTTTTTTAAAAGCTTCATTCAAACCACTTAAATAATCAAATGACATCTTCCTCTTTACCTGACAGCAAATACTATTTGATAAACCATTCTGTTAAAGGACATCCAAACCTTATTACACTTCTTTTACTTTTGTTGTGCTTTCAGTGACCACCTCTGCTCCTGACTTGTAAAATTATAGCTTAGCCAAACAGTTGTATGTAGTCTGCATAACCTGCAGGCTTATAAATTAGGGAAAACAAGCCTAAGGTACTGTTGAGTTTGCATTCAGTAAATTCTCCTTCCTCAAGAAGCAGCAGCAGTCCCTCTGGTCACTTACTGCAGGTTTAAGGAAGGTAGGAAGAATGTACATGGAAGGGGCTTCTTCCCTTTCTCCTTTTCCTGAAAGGTGAGAACTTGCACTTTTCCCCCAGCATCGTTTTTTCCCTCCCTCTTTAACTGGTGCTGCGAGAGCTCCCCCTCCTGTTTCAGGGTTTGCATGTCAATTGAAAAAACCTAAACCAAAACCCCAACAAAAAAAGGCACTTAACAACTCTGACAACTAGAGAACACCCTTGAATTCAGCAGCCTTTTTCCAAAGAGTGGCAACATTTAGCAATAAAACGGAAATACCAGGTATAGCTGGCACACAATCCTTTCCATGTTGTGCATAGAAACAGTGAAGTATCTCCCTCCAAGTATGTACTCAGGACACAGTATTATAAGCATGAAAGGTCAATACTTCTAAAAAACACACTGAAAATATTCTTACTTTATCAACTGGTTATACACCATCAACTGCTTCTATGCCATAGCTCTTTATCATAAAATTTTCCTTTTTACAGCTAACAGTTTGCACTGGGAAATTATGAGTGTTATGTGAAGCTCTAGGATTTTCTAGGCTATTATTTTTTGAATTGAGACATTCATAGAAGGCTCATAAGGATTCTGTAATATTTGGAATCAGCTTTTTTGAGGAAGTAATATATTGTGACAAATTAACTGAGGTGAATTCTTTGTCCACAATGGTGTTTTAAAGTCACTGATGCCTAGATCTCTCATCACTCTGAACCCTTTTTTTATCTTCAGGCCATACACCCTTGCCCATCACTTTCCACTCTACCCAAGCATTTGATCAGCAGATTCATCTGAGCAAAACAGTTCCTAACAGTCAGAAAAACAAGTGTTTTGGTTTTTTTTTTTTAAAGAGTGAGGATGGGACATTCCCACATAAGGATGGGGGAGAACTTGTTATTTTAAAGTCATCATTCAGCTGCATATACAACAGTTGGTTGTGTGTTATTTTTCGTTCTGCTATTGAAGAACAACGAGCTATTGAGTTGTCTGAATGAAAGTAATTCTAAACTTTTGCATTTGCAGAGTTTCATTAACACAGGTCAAATAAAACAGACTGTTTCTATAACTGTAATTGTAAGAAACCACATGGGATATTATACCTGGGGAGTGTCCATCAAAAACTGATGGGCTGTATGTATAGTTGAGTCCCTGCTTCTCTCTGGCTTCTCTTCAGTCACCTTTGGTAGCTTTTCTGTTGTAGAGTCATTGACATCCTCCGAGTCAAAAGTCTGGATCTCTGGCTCTGCTTCACCTGGCCCTACAATCACAAAACTAATTACCAACTTTGTAGATCTCACATAATACAAGAACCAATACTGTATCTCAACTATTTTACAAAGTGTCTCGCATGCTTTGTAGTGCAACTCAGACATTATTTTTTAAGAGAAATACACAAATTTTAAGACAATCAATTCTAGGAATAGGATAAATACACTTTGGAACTCACTGCAACAGATAAACACGCATTTCCTTATGCAAACTGTTTTTCTCTCTTATAACCTTCTTGCCAAATGAACAAAACATTGGTGAACAAATCTTTAACAACTTAAAATTCCATGGGTGAAGTACATTTTTTGAGCTTCATAGCCTCTCCAATAGAGTGACAGGAGGTATAAAGCACTTTGAGAACATTCAGAAGATCTACATTAAAAAAACAATGGCAATCTTTTCTTATCAAAAATCTACAAAAGAAAAGATTGCCATTGTTTTTTTAATCTCATCTTTTACTCTCTAGTTTTGTAATGGAACAGTTTCCTATAAATCAGACATCGATTTACAAATAAAGGAGTGGACTAAAGATTTTCTTTTATTATTGTTTCTACTATACTACAACTGTTTAACAACTCAGTTTTTAAGAATTATTCTAAGAAAAAAGTATGACATTCTAGGAGATGTTTTAAGATCCTAGTTTTTCAGAACCTACTGTTAGAGAATCATGTGGAAAACAAAATAGACTGATTACATGCATGCCTGTACCATAAAGCTAATGAGTCTAGCAAGAGATTTAAGTGAAGAGATTAAACCTGAAAGGAGTGGGAGGCAAGAAGGTAAATTCAGGCTAGAACAACTCTTGTCTCCCCGCTCCAGCCAGCTTTTATGTTGTTAGATAAGAAAACCATTCAAAATTCCAAGCTAGTGTCATTTACTGAGAGTCATCAAAATTAATTACTTCTGTTGCAACTGGCAAGAGATATTTATTTATATCTGGCTTATTTTGTTTGTGCGGGCTGTGTGGCTGACAAGTCAGACTTGTTCTCATTTACCAACCATTTGCATTTGACAGCCATTCTGTTGGGCAGCTCAGTTTTGTTTTGTTTCATTCCCACTCAAGGAAGAAAGCAGTCAGACAGTGACACTTCAGTGCTACCTACCAGATGTTGTTCAGACCAGCTCCTCAACTACTTTATGTTTTGTCAGAAGTTAAACACAAAAAAAGTTGAGTTACGTGGTGCTGATGCTGGTGACACTGGAATGCATTGTTATATGCCAATTAATTAAGCGAACTGGCATTGTGTCTAACAAAAGTGGGAAACTATTTGCTTTTTACTTCTTCAAAGAAGTGGATAAAGGTTAGAGACCATTAACGAAAGAAAGCAGCAAACCCTTCTATCATTCAAACAATTTAGCAAAGGCTAACGCTGATTACTAGGCAGGAGTAAGAATACTGCTCCAGAAAAGTCAACTAAGAGCAGATGTTTTAGTCTTATAACACATACACACATCCATAACATGCAAATATAAATACCTACATATACATTTAAAGATGCACATCAGCGTATGTTTAGAATGTTTTTTTTTAAGTTAACGTACCAGGAGGTTTAGTGGCAGTAGACAACTTTTTTTCTGGCTTCAGCTCCTCTGTGTCTACTGCTCTGAGATCCTCATTGTTCTGCATTTCTGTTTCCATAGCTGCATCTTCAGAATCTCCCTCTTCCTTTTCTTCAAGAGGCATAACAGGTTTTTCTTGCTCTTTGCTAGCTACATCTGTATAAAAGCAACAATACTTATCAAGGGAAGAGAGGAAGGAAAAGTAGTGAAGTTGCAAAAAAAGCTCCATTCTGAGCCCACTGCGTATCAGTTTTAGTGAACTTCAGAAGAGATCTGAGATATTGCCTCAAACCTTGGTTTTGTCTTTCACTGTGCTGTGCCATGTTGTGTCAATGAGCTATTGCCCTGAAAACCTGAAGAATAAAGTAGACTAGTTACTGTAATAAAAAGCAATTTATTTAATTAAATTTAGATTAGAGGAATATTTTTAAAGAGACATCAATTTTTTTTATACAGAAAAAAGATCCTGTTGTGTTATCCTAAATATTTCACATGTGTGGTAGCAGTTTAGGCTTCAAAATAATTGAAGTAAGATTTGGAGAGAATAGATTTTAAATACGTTTATTAAACTAAAATCCATTTTTATGAGTCAATTCAGGATTTTCAAAAATGTTATCACTAGTTTGAATCTGATTGCCAAAGAGTAGCATTTATTGTAGTGAAATGGTACTACATCTTAAAGAGAAGCAAGGACTGTTAAACATAGCTTCAAAAAACATATTGGGAAAAACTACAGCAAATAGGAGTGCTTCAGGATTTGATTCTGCAATTTGATTCTGATAACTTTTTACACCCAGAAATACCACCGTACCATATGTCTGTGCATCATAGCATTCGGAGCCTTGTTTAATATGTTCAAATGCATCAGCCTCCTCTGCATTTTGTTTAGGCTGAGTTGTATTCTGCTTTGCTTCACTGCTGGATTCTATGGTCCTCAGGCGCTTGTGGATATGTTCGTTGTGATCTCCCATTGAACGCTCATTGTCTGCCTGCCCGGGTTTCCTCTTGAAACTCTGAAAGAAAACAAATTAACACTGTGAACTTCAAGCGAGGTGCAACCAAACACCGATTAGAAAAAGAGTTCTAACAAGGAGAAACTGTGTCCTGCCTATTTGCTGGTTAATATTAGGACATTCAAATAAAATGAAAAAGATTTAAAAAAAAAAAAAAAAAAAAATTTAAAAGAAGAGATGAACCTGGGTATTTTTTCTGCTTTGCTTCTGAGAAGCCATCCGGGCCATGCGTGTGGATTCATGGCCTTCTGATTGATTTGCACTTGAAGCTCCACTTCCATATTCCTGAGAGAGCAAAAAAACATGCAATGGTAACTGAAAAGGGACTTTAGCAACTGTTGTAGATAAATTTGAGAAGTTAAACTGCAACACTATGCTACCTTCTATTGTGAATGATGAACGGCTCACAACTGCAAGTATTATCCTTGTGGAGAGCAGACAAGATAATTCTGCAGCTCAACAATTAGCCTAAACTTCCCATGCAGCTTTCACTGCTATGAAGTGAAAACTACACGGTCTTCAATTTTTGTCAGTGAATTTCTAACTAGTGTTCTAAAAATTGAATCTTAGACACTATTCTTAAAAATATGGCAGCAACTCCTTGACTGTAACTTGAAAACATATTCACAAGCTCAGCATTTTCAACTAGGACACTATGTCATTTACCTCTTTAGACTGGTCTCTTTCTGAAGCCTCTCCAGCCAGCTCAACAGCACTGTCACTCTGCAGGTTTTCCTGTCCGGTCTGCCCTTGTGTTTCATGCTCCATTCTTTCCTCAGGCTCGGGGATCTCTTCATCTATCTCTGAATTATCTTTACTCTCTTCTTCCTGAAATAACATCAGTTTAGTTTAACATTCTAAAAAACACTGGGAAACAGAAGGCCAAGGAGGTAACAGGAATACAGATGACAGAAATACACCAGTTCAATAGTAAGCACATCTGTGTTACCTTGGTGAAGATTTTCACTAACATTACACCTACTCAATATCAAATTTGTTCCAGAGTATCACAGAACACATCTATTTCTTAAATCTTGTATAAGGTAATTAAAAAAAATAAAAAAAAAAATCAGGCTTTTATTTATTACTCTCCACCTGAGGTTGAAGGCCTTGGTCAGCAGCAGGGATTCCCTTATCTTCAGCAGATTCATTTTTTTCCTCATCAGGTGGTTGTGACTCTTCTGCTGCTGCTGCTGCATCCTCAGTGTTTTCTTCTTGATCATCAGCATCTTTGTCCCCTTCGTCTTCCTTCTTCTCTTCATCTTCAGAAATACCTTCTTCAGCTGGTTCTGCATCTTGATTATCTCTTTCTGTCTCACCAGTATCCTCTTCATTCTGTTCTTCTGTCTTCTCTGCCTCATTTAAATCAACAGGTTTCTCATCTACTTCAAAGGCGTTCTTTTCTTCTGGATTAAAAAAAAAACAGAAAGGTATACAAAACATTCAGTGAAGTACAGAGACAGTGAATATTACAGATACTTAAAATAAAACTGCCCAGCCTATCAAAAAATCTTAAAAGAAAATACTGAGAATTCTATACACAGAATCTATGATTTTCTATAGCAGATAGTTTCTTTAAGTCACAATTGGTTTGTAACTAACAATACAGCAAGATGAATTCCTCTTAACTTCCTTTAAACTAACATTCTTGAGGATCAGTTGACTGAGTGCAAATACTTGTATCATACAAAAATCTGAAATCACAAAAGCGACTGGACAACGAAGTAAGAAGCTTATAGCATAGATCTGGGTGTATCAGCGTATCACTTGGATAACATGAGAAAGGCTGCTCCACAGTGTGCATGAAAGGGAGGCAAAGGGAAATGCTGTAACATTAAGTTCTTATCTGGCCTGCATTTGGTATTTTGATACACAGAAGTGAATTTGCAGCTTCTTGTTATACAGAATCCTACCATCACCTCTCTTCTTTCTATAGAGAAAAAAGAGTTTATTATCTGACTGTTCCTCCCTATTTCCCTTTGGCTTTCATCCGGGAACCTGCAGAGAGATTTTTCAGCTGTACCTTCATCCTTTTCCTCCTCGTCACTCTTCTCATCATTCTCCAGGTTCAAATTATCAGGAAGGTCCAAAGGTTCAACTTCAGGCTGCTTTTCTTGCTGGCCATGATAAGGATCTACTTCATTCTCATCATATTCACGCTGTCAGCAAAAAGAAGGGGTGGGAGGAATAACAGGTATGTAATAAGTCAGAGGAAAGGCAAAGATGAGAAATAAAATACTACTGAATTCTCTAGGACACAGAAATACTAGATACAATATTACATTCTGATCAGTTAAAAATGATTTTCCAATGGTACACATCCTCATGTCTAAATAGCAGAAAAAGATTAATTTCAGCAAACGCATTTACATAAATTGTTATGTCTTCAAAACAGCATGTTTTGTGTTCAGAATCCAGCTTTCCTAACGGAAAGATTCTGAACAGAATCTGCACTCTTGCAGATGGTAAATGCACTCTTGCATAATACGCAGAATCTTCAAGCCTACTGTATACAGATTCTTGGGATAAGTCCCACAGACTGAAGAACACAACAGAACAAGAACTTTCAAACTTTGTCCATCAAAACACCAATTCAGTGTTTTGGCAGCCATTACAAGTTCAGGTTAGTGCAAACAAGAATTCTTTCTGGATTATGCATCAGAAAGTATACATATATTATAATGGATACAATATGGTTTATTTTTAGCTCTGAAATTAATGAATTTTTTCAGTGCACTTCACTATTAAATAAAGAGCATTTCAAATTCTCAGAAACACATGATACGAGCAACAGGATATGGTTGAACAGCAAGATATTCTATGTAGTCCAAATCATTTTTACCTCATCAATTTGTTCATGGATTTTCTCTTTGTTTTCATTGTCCTCCTCTTGTTGCTCATTTTCCTTATCCTTGGGGGGTTGTTTTTTATTATCCTTGTTTCCTGTGCCCAAATTGTCATCTTTTGCAACAAGCTCTGAATCCTCCTATTAACCAACAAATCCAAAAGAAACTCAATTATGCTACCTGCTTCTCAAAGTCTGAGTGACAAGATATCATCTCCTACAGAAAAAAAAAGACAATACTAAATAACTTGTGATATACTCAAAATTATCCCTTTCCAAGACCAAGAGCTAAGCAAGGGAGTTCACAGTCTAGGTCACATCAAGTTAACAGAATTTAATTCCTTCGATATTCTTCTTCCCACCCCTTGTCTCTACCTCATCCATTCCTGGTCCAGTTTCTTCTGTTTTACTACTGGCATCTTCATCATCATCTTCATCTTCATCCCCCCAGAGCCTCTCATCCAGTTTATCATCAGCTTCAGCATTATCAAGATTTCCCATCTGCTTATCCAGCTCCTCTTCATCTGAATTTTCATCATTTTCTGTGTACAGTTCAGAATGTGTTTCAGTACAGAAGAGACAAAGGTAACTTTGTTAACTTCAGAAATAAAAAAGCAGTCATACTTGGCAGCTTAATTTTATCACCCTATGCAGTTACTTTGAAAGATGCGGAAAAAGACACACATGCACTAACACCCAGAAGAGCAGGTTTCCAATTATGTGGTTCAGAGCGTTCTCTTGGACATAAGGACACACACAGCATTCTCTCCCTCAGACTAACAGTTCCCAGGTGCAACACTTGGATGATATAAACTCTCCACTCCTTACCCTCTCAGTCCTCCATTTTCAAAACTTTCTGGCATTAGTGGGAGGGGGAAGGTCTATTCCACTTTATCTGTTTATTAGCTTGGAAATTTCCCTTCTTGTGCAGACGAACTTATTCTTGGTATTTTGTCAGAGATTTGAAAGTAGATTAATACTACCATAATTTATAAGACACATTAGTTTCAGATGTTCAAATTGTTGCCCTGTAAAGTGAAGACCTGCTACCTTTAGGGTGAGTAGCAACTTGAGTGAATCTATCGAATACTGCTTTTTTCCAATTTAAAAAGGTAAAATTAAATTATTTTAATTGCTTAAAAGTAAGCAATAGCTTCATTAATCACATTTTGAAGTTAACTACAGCCATATTCTCAAGTATTCTGTTGGTCTTCAACAGTTCCACAAAGTCAGCGACTAATTATAAACTGCGTCTGTAGGTTAGCTTACAACAGGAAGAAAAAATCATATCCCTTCATTCCAAAACCATCACAGTGAAAAAGAGAGACAATATTTTCTTTGTACCCTTCTTAGCATTCATGTTAATAGTTAGAATAATAGTCATAGAATAGTTTGGATTGGAAGGGACCTTTCAAGGTCATCTAGTCCAACCCCCCTGCAATGAGCAGGGACATCTTCAACTAGATCAGGTTGCTCAGAGCCCCGTCCAACCTGACCTTGAACATTTCCACCCCCAGGGATGGGGCATCTACCACCTCTCTGGACAACCTGTGCCAGCGGCTCACCACCCTCACTGTGAAAAGTTTCTTCCTTACATCTAGTCTATATCTGCCCTCCTTTAGTTCAAAATCATTACCCCTTGTCCTATTGCAACAGGCCCTGCTAAAAAGTCTGTCCCCATCTTTCTTAGAAGCCCCCTTTAAGTACTGGAAGGCTGCAATAAGGTCTCCCCGGAGCCTTCTCTTCTTCAGGCTGAATAATGCCAAGTCTCTCAGCCTGTCCTCATAGAAAAAGTGTTCCATCCCTCTGATCATTTTTGTGGCCCTCCTCTGGACCCGCTCCAACAGGTCCACCTCTTTCCCATGCTGAGGACTCCAGAGCTGGATGCAGCTTCTTAGTATTCATATACAAAAGGGCACTACTCTGTTATTGAACACTGACTTTTCTGTATATGCTTAATAATACAAAAGTATAATTTAATATAAATAAAAAGTATAATTAAATATAAAATCCATTATTGGATTGATCTATAACATTTCTTTGAAGTTTGCCATAGTGGAAGGACCAAACCTTTTTCTTCCTGTTCTCCATCATGCATTTTTCCTTCAAAGTCTTCTGACATTTCAATTGCATTGTCTTCTCCTTCAATGTCTGGTTTAGAATCTTGATCCTCTTTCTCCTTCTCTTCACCCTTTTGAAAACTGTCTTCTATCTGAATTATTGGTAAAGCAAAAAATAATTACAATGGATCTTGCCTATATATTAAAAGTACCACAACAATATTTATAAGCTTATATGCAAATATAAAAGCCAGCCTAAACAGGAGACTGGAGGTAACTTCATGTTTATTTTACCTGAAACATCCTCAACATGGATCTCAAGGACCTTCTCAGTTTTACCTAAATTAAACAAGAACAACTGCAAACACTTGCCTGATCTTCGCTTTCTATTTTATCGCTCACATCCTTCTTGCCTTCCCCATCTCCAATACCACCATCCTCGTAATCATGAAACTGTGTTGCTCCCTCTCCATCTTCATCTTCAAGTAATTCTTTTGGCAGACAAAATCCCTACAAAGGCAAACTGAAACTCAAAACTTCCTGTATTAATAAGCTTAATAATCAGCTTAGTTTCTACTTAAGATTGCATACATTAAATATATGCTTACCATCTATCCACTGTTATCTCTAATAACTTACCTTTTGGGCAAGCTCTGTAAAAATGCTAGTTAGAACAGAAAGCAATTTTCCAGTACTCCTGTGAGATGCCAGTGAAACAGTGAGGTAGAACAGGATAAGGTCTGAATACTTGCAGAGCATGGGCTTTAGACGCACCAGCAAATAGCAGGACTGGTTGAAGAACTGCAGTTAAAACACCAAAGAACGTATGTCAAAAATGACTATGTACATACAGAGATATACCTCAGAGAGGGTGATGATAGAGACTGAAAACAGATGCTCAAACCAGAAATATCAGTAAGCGAGTTTAAATACAATTTAAATTTACAATTTAAAATTTAAATACAAAAGTTTCCAGAACTTTTTCTAGATTTTTCACAAAAACGAAAACTTTTCCTTCTTACCAAAGGAACATCTGGCTTTTGCACTACAGGAGAATACCTATATTTGGCCATAGTGGAAGGACCAAACCTTTTTCTTCCTTTTCTCCATCACTAAGCCAAAGACCCTTAAGCCAAACACTCTCGAGAAGAACAATTTTACCTTGTATTTATCTGAAGTGTAATCTTCCCCATAAGACTTCAGGTTCTCCAGGAGTTCTGAAACCGCTAAAATTGCTTTCTCCACATGCAAAGAATCCAAATCAGCAGAGAGATCTTCATCCAAAAGCTTAGTTATATGTCCTGTTTTAATCCCATCAAATGCAGATGCATCCTCTTTGTTTGAAATACATTAAAAAAATATGGAAATGAAGTCAGACATTCTATAAACGTTGTAGCAAGCAATCTAGAAATATCCATCCCACCTGTTTAAACAGACAAATTAAAATGCCAATTTCCTTGTGTATTGGTACCTCCTCTAGACACAGAGTTTAAGGAATTTTTAGGTTTGCATAGTTTAAACTCCCCTCCTCTCCCTTAAGTAAATCAACAAATTTACCATTTTCCTCTGGAGATTTTTCTTCCTCTTTCCCATCTTCCTGTTTTCTCTCTACCAAACACTGGATGCCATACAGAACAACACGGATAACAGTTTCCACTTTTGACGAGAAGTGCTCCACAAACTCTTCATCTGACTCTTGACTTCCTTTTGAATCATAACACAGGCAGTTTTACATAGAAACACATTAAATTACAGTTACTATGTTTCCCCTATGCAAGGAGCATGATAAGCACTATGCAGTTTTTACTACATAGTTCTACTAAAATCTCCTTGCTAATCCTGACATACAACTATGGTATAAAATCTGTCAGGAACAGTGACTAAGGGGGAAAAAATATTACTGCACAAATTAAGTCTGAACTAAATTTTGCAAGTTTGAATTTCATCAAGTATTTCTGGATATCCAAATGAACATGGAGCCATCATCTGCAATAACAAAACTAACGAATTCTTATATCTTTATCTAAGTGACAAAATGGGCAGAGGAGAATTGTCCTTACCACTGCAATTCGACATGGAAGCAAGAAGCTGTGTTCTCCAGGCTGTGAAATCTGCAGATGTGTTATTAACTTCTTCTTGTATATATTTTAGGCTCTTGATTAGGGCCATCTGATTTGCAGCTTGCCTGTCTTCCCCATTTGGAAGAAATAGGGACTCTACACCCTGTAACTGAGCTGAGACTTCTAGCAAACAACTCACAGCTGATGTGCAAACTTCAAAATCTCTCCTGCAACAAGAAATGCCATAATACTGAAGGAAGAACAAACAGTTCAACTTAAGATTAAACTTTTTCTTGGGACGTGGATGAGGGGGAGGCAGCTGATCTCCATCTTTAACTTATTAGATAAAAAGCTTGACAACAAGCAGATGTGCCACTTACACTGCTTAAAGCAGAGAGAAAATGAGAGGATTACTATTATTACTAAATAGGCTACAGAATTCTTTTAAAATAACAATTTCTTCATTAAATTGATGTTTGAAATTTGTCTCATTAACTAAGGAGCTATGGGTATGAAATCCCAGGAGACCAAAAACAAACTGAGAAGCTGAGATAGACCAATTTTTTTTCTGACTTGTCAGGAGAGTGGGAGAAGACACGCACATTTGTTTAAAAAGCCAGGCACTGCATTTTGCAAGAAACACAAACGGAAAGAAGCTTCAAGAGCACCTGAACACGCTTTTCAAGATACGCATAGGCAAACATTTTCAAGATGACTTCACACATCTTACATGAGCATAAAACATAGAGACATTCAATTTCATGCACACATAGAACTCACCAGGAATAAAACAAGGTCTCACATGACTCTTGTCTTATTTTGTCCACTTCTGCTTTCATTGCCTTCACTTTTGCCAGCATTGCAGTCAATTGTGTAGCTAGCTGGAGCCATAACTGATCCTTATTTCGCATCCTGCATCCAGGAGGCAGTTGCTCAGTTGTTACTGGAGACAAGTATTTTAGCTCTGAGGGAATTAGGTCAGGTATTCCCATAAAAACATTTCCCATTTCAGGTCCTGAACTCTGAAAAATGTTTGTTTTGACATCTGTCCTTTCACTGTCACTGCACTTTGTTAACTCTTCTTTTGGGCAGCACTGTATAAACCAAGACAGCTCCTCGAGAACCATCATGCACTGCATGGAAAGTTGCTGCAGTTTGTCAGTCCAATGTTGAATACTGTCTTGAGGAGGGAATGCTACATTATATTCTCTGTCAGCAGTCAACCTAGAATCTATCTCTTGTATAGAACTCAGGAGGTTCCTAGTCAAGAATAAAGAAGGAAAAGTTACAATCACTGAGTTTTATGTTATAGTTCCTTTTTAAAAGCTCAACCATCAGACTGAGTTCATAAAAGATCTAGATAATACGGACTCAGTGGAAGTCAAACTTCGTCTGGAAAAAGTAAAATGATAGCCTTTTTTAAAAAAACGTTTTGTCTAATTAGTGACTTTTTCTCTCCGTTGCATATGTTTGAGTTGTCTTAAAAACAGGGCTTTGTGAGATTTCTCAGAATCTACACCATCTTTTCAAACAATCCTTAAACTCCTCGCCTGATACTCAAATATTGTTCATTTTCCTCCATTATAAAAGCAAATTAGATTCTAACACATCTTCATTGTCTGAAGAGCTGTGTAACAGTCAGCTCATAACAAATGATTTAATCCGATTTGCAATGAAAGTCACAGCAATGCAGATCAGCGTCTTAGAAGTTTTAACTATTCCTGCAACTGTAAAGCTGAGGAGTTTGTGTTGTGGGTTTTTATTTGTTTTTCCAATTTTCCTAGGGTTAGTATAAATTTTGCACCAGTAATCTCCAGTCTAGATGTCCTTCCCTGTACAAAGGAAATAGCTCCTGACCTAACTTCAGAAAGTTTTATGGAATACATTAGTGATGAGCACAAATATGCAGAAAAACAGTGGAGTTGGCAGTGAAACTGATGAGTCAAGCAATAGAGTGAAAAATCACAAGTAAGACAGATTTCCTATACACTTTTCCTTTTACAGTTTTGACACAAGATCTACTATCTCCCACCTTTCTAGGATTTTTCTTTGTAAGCTGTTGTTTTGTTTTTGTTTTTGTTTTGTTTTTTTTCCATTTTGGCTCAGTGTCATCCAAATCATTTATTTGCTCCAGATCAAACCAACAACTTGAACACAGCCAAAATTAACTTAGACCAATACCAAATGAGAGAGATTTAACAGTCTATAGGCTTAATCGTTTAACTGTGTAATTAACTACAGTAATTATTTCATAGGCTTCATGTATGCCTAACTTGTTTTCCCAAATTATTTTCATTCCAAAATATTGGCTGCAATGACAGGATAAACAGTATCTAACCCCCTTCCCCCCACATCTAGGCTTAATTGAGGGGAGGACAGAAAGGGGGGGGCGGGGAAGAAGAACTTTATTTTCTCCTACCTTATTGTCTATCTTTCTTGAACTGCATTGCTTACTGTAAAACTGTCCTTGCCAACATTTAAATGTTGGAAAATGCAAACTACCTTAGTAAGATCCACTGTTCTGTCAAGGCAGTAAGAGATCTTCTCTGTCTGACAAGCATCTGTATGAGGTGTGCAGTGAACCCTTTGCATCGTTCAATGCTACCTAGTCCAATATCCTAAAGAAAACAGATGAAGTGGGAAGGAACAGTTAGATGAATAAGCAGAAACAACATTCTCTGTGCCTCCATTTCATTTCACTGAGCAGGCTGAAACGTTATAGTTTACTTGAAAAAGTCTTAAAATGCAGACAAAAATTATAGTTATTACAGTTTCCTCATCTTCATTTTTCTGCAATCTTCCATATATCATGCATATAAATTTGATTTTCAAGTAGCTTCTGCAACAACAGTCATTATTAAATTGCACTCCACTGCAGCAATTCTTATCAGGAATTTAGTTCCAATAGTAAAGCTACCTTACATAAATGATGATTAAAATCTAAAGAGAAACCAGCTGAAATTTTTACATTCATGACCCTTGCTAAAACCACTTCCACAAATCATTTTACCAGATTTACTGACAATTACTTTCACTCCTTTCATTAGAAGCGATCCCATTTTAAAGCTTAGAATAGATGTTCATGGCACAGAGCGAAACCGACCATAGCTACGTTCCATTATTTATGGTCATTATCAGCTGTGATGTTTGACAAGATCGTGTTGTAAAACATGGAGTGAAGCACAGTGAGAGAAAGAGCATCTGGAAGAGATTCCTTTTTCCTGGAGTACTGGAAAAGTGGTACTGATTTGGCAGAGCTCATTTGTTCCTTCTACTGATTTTAGACTAATTTTTAAGCAAGGAAATATATCATCACTTTTTGTGTTAGACACAGGCTCCAGTTATTCCTAATTATAAATCTCAACTGAATTTTTTCATCAGTACCAGCTAATCTTGGGGTTTTTTTCCTAACAAGTTTTTATTCAGCATTTCAGGAGTTACCTTCATGCACAAAAAAGTAGCAATTTGGGATCCATTAGGATGAAAGATATGTACGTTAAACAGATCATTAACTTAGTTCACTGAACTGATATTGTTCATTCATAAAAAGGGTTTTAAAATTCTGCATTTAATGATCGGTCCCAAAAATATCATATTTTTTTATCATATGACAGAATATAGCATTATCTCACATCCCCTTTTTACTACTAGAAAATTTCAGTCCAAGCTGGTAAAATAAAGTTAACAGAAGTAGGATTTCTATTTTTACTTCAGTGTTTTTACCTTGGCAGGTGCCAACAACGCTGTTTGAAGTCTACAGTGGCGTGCAAGTGACCGATAGAAGTATTTCTGGCATCCATCCCAGGCAGAAGAAATCTCTGTCAGCAACCTGACAGAGCACAAAAAAAGCCTGATATTAGAAAGGTGTACAATTTCAGTACCTCAGCACACTGGAACCACTATGTCAGCTCTTCAACTTAAGACATTTGCTTACAATTTGTTATTCTGAAAATGCATTGATGTTGTAATTCTTCATCTTCTCCACAAGAATTCTAGTCTTAAGAAAACACTGAAGTTTTAAAATAAACTTTAAGGAAATCTTAAGCAATAGCAGCAAAATCTCTATCTTTGAATATAATTTAACACTTAAATAGTGATTCCCCACCCCACAGAGGTAAATCCAGCTTGACAGGGAAGCCTTTATTTTGGCCTTGACGAAAGACATTATACACTAAACACTTGCAGCTGAGGAGGACAATAACCAGCATGCCTCAATGACAAAAATCATCTGCTGCCAGAAAAACAACACAGAAACATCTGAAAGAACATCTTTCCTCTAGATTTTCCAGAAATGTCCACTTTGAAGTCTATGTATTTTCTCCTGAAATATCCCATTATTTAATGAAGACAAAACAAGTAAGTAATGCCTGTAAATTACAACTCATTTTTAATAAAATCATTAGCAGTCTACATTCTAATATGATGCTAGCAAAGCATCCCAGGAAAAGCTGGACAGTGGAGAGCTAATTGAAATCTAATTCACAGAAACAATGAAACTGAGGGTAGAGTTGCCAAAAGTGCCAATAAGCCCTTGCTCAGTTGCATGTGCTGGAACAGTATGTATAGGATTTTCAAACAGAGAAGTAATGGGAGGAAGGGAATATGCAGTATCCTAAATGAATTACAGTCCAGAAATTCCAGTCTAAATCCCCATGCAATAAATTATATATATCAATAGCTGCAAATTCATACAATCTAAGGGTTAGAAATACTGTGTACATACGTGGAATCCAGTTCATGTGTACAATTTACTACACCTAATGCACTATGCAAGTCCAGTGGACGTAGGTAGAGTATTTCACGATAGTCTTTTGAACGGGACCAAGACAGACCTTTCCGGTATGACAAACCTGGAATGACATTTAAACACACATCCTTTTATGCCCTCATTCTTTTATATGAAAAATATCACTCATACAGTTGGTATTAGGATATAAAATCTTCTGATTTTTTTTTTTTTCCCCTGATGCTGTCTCATTTGACCAAGTCTTTGAACATGCTGCAAGTTTTGTAAGGTAGGAACACATCGTAGCTTAGCTATCTTAGCTGAACATCACAGCTGAAGTAAGGCAAACACATGTCTTATGAAATAAGACCTCCTACATGGGTAGGAGGTTGGTGGTGGTGGCTAAGATAAAAAACAAAAAGCCTTGAACCTGTAAGGCAGGCTACAGCCTGAGAAAGTTATAGCTATGTACTTCTAAAACTCAGTCTTAAGGCTGTTATTTTAGCTATTTTAAAAACTGGATTAAACATGCTCATTTCTCTCGAGCCAGTTATAACATGCCTTTCAAAGTATCCTGATGGTAAGCAGAGCCTGTAAGAAATACTCATTAGCTATTTAGGTTATGTTGCCATTTTTCCAAACAAAATGGAGAACAAGTCTTAAGAGCAACACTTTTCACTGCTCCTGGTCCTTTAAGAAAGCTGAGATAGGGCTCATGACCTCGTTTTTAAGACATGAAAAGGCTGATGAATGAGGAAGGTAGAGGTGTCACCTGAAATCAAAGACAGAGCTCAGTAAAAAATTCAAGTCCCATGTGTTAATTAAATCATTGCAGTAGGTCATTCCTCCAGCACAAACTTCACAGGGTAGCAATGGCAAATATTCCTTTGGCACCAGTGGGTGCAAAAAAAGCCAAACACAGGAAAAGTGTATGTACTGCAAACCTCCCATTTAGATTCACCTGTGTTTGTAGCCATCTAAACACAAAAGGACCTTAATCTTCTGGGAACTATTTACTCAGTACACACGTCAACTCATTTAAGTAGCATAAACTACAAACATTCAAAACTACAACTGAAGCCTCCTCCCACCTCCCAGAAAGCATTTAAGATGTTTTTGTTTTCATATACTTTCCAAGTGTTGTGACACACTAACTCTTAGTTTGTTATCAAAATCATGCCTTCTTGGAACCCTTAACTTCATGTTTCCAAGCTTCCTTTTGCAGCCATGAGGAACAGAACTTTTTTTTTTTCTTGAGAGGTTCTTAGGATCCCAGCAGGCCAGAAGCTATGGCTCCCCAGAGAAGCACCAAACACTAAACTCTCTTCCAAAAAGAAGAAAAAAAAAAATTCCAAAATTACATTAATTTATACTTCTGCCTATGACTTAGCAGAATACGGTCAGACAGCTGTTTATTTACCAAGACTGCCTACTTCTGCTGGTTTCTAAACTGCTCAGTGACTAAGAACAGTTGATGAATGATTTCACAACACAACACCAAAGGAAAAGGCAACAATTAATAGTTTGGGTAGGTCCCTTACCTTAAGACTAGCAAGGGGAGCAATGGAGACTGGGCTGCTGAACAGGGTGTCTCCGTTCAATATTTCCCATCAATAGACCATTCAATCTCCATGGCTCAACCACACCTCTGCCAACCTGATCTCTGCCAGTCTGTCAATCAAGAGATGGCCCCTCATTCTAATGAGCTAACTTAATTTCAGTTCTGGATCAGAGAATGGATACAAGATAATGAGCTTCCCTCTTGTTTCTAAAAGCTGGGCAGTGACTTCTGACTGGAGATAAAGTAGGTTTCTGCTTTAGAAAAGCTACTGTTGTACATTTAATGGAAGATAAGAAGAACAGAAGGTATCTGAAAGAGCTAACACACCGGGCCTCATAGTCAACAAACAAAGAGAAAGAGAGACTTAAATGCTTCTATGCATTAGTGGCTAAATGACTTCAAGAACATAGTATTATGGCGGGCTTAGATGTATTGGCAAAAATAGTAAAATGCTTAAGAACTTTGTACTTTTAAACCAAGCACACTTTTAGTCAAAGCTCACCTGTTTTAGCAAGGCTTTTAAAGAGATCTGATAAAGCCCGTTGCTTTTGCATCTGAATATGCTTTGCCTCTGATTTCTGCTTCTCCTTATCTGCTGTCCGATCAAATGTTAAATTTTGCAGTTCAACTACAGAAACAATGATACCACCTGTATAGAAGACAGCAGGGAAGGGTAAGAGATGTGATAATTTAACATACAGAAAGCAGCCATGGGAAGACAGTCTGGAAAGGGAACTATATATATCTACACTTTTTCCTGATTTGTTCCATTTATGTTACAGAGGTCAATTATGGTATGGAAATCACACGGATACTTAACCTGTAAACTCGTCAAGATTCTCCACCAGACTTAAGAATGAATTATTTTCTGTAACTGTTGTACACATTTTCTTCATTTTTTTAGTAAGCTTAGGCAGACGATACTGAAGAGATTCTGTATGAAATGTAATACCATCCTGACATTCTTCTGGGAGTGCCCTCTGAGAAAAAAAAAAAAAGAAACAGTCCAATTATACACACATACTCAAAGGTGACTTATTTGACCATTAAGAGTAAATCACTGCAAAAACAAGGGCTAAATTCTGCATTTATCTGAAACCCCAAAACATGCCCACGTGATCTTTTGAACAGTTCGGCACCAACACTTGAGGAAAGTTACAATATATGCATGTCAGACATACATTAATTTTGAAAACAGCCAAACAAATGGAAGATGCTATGATCGTACTCTCTTAGGTGTTTGTCATGACCTTTCGTAGAGGTTATCACTGCTTCAGGACAGCTTCCTCAGCCTTCCAAGCTCAAAGGCACATTAAGTTACATCACTAATGCCCTCAGTGTGTTAGGTAAGAACATGATCATTTACCTTCCACTAGACACAAATTTAATTGCACTTCTAAAGAACAACAAAACCAGTATGCAAATAGAAATTATTAAATAAGAGAAGTAATCCCCCAGCATGTCCAAAGGTAGTCCCTAAGCTTTGTTCAGTTTAAGTTTCCACACATCTTGTTTAAGGAATGAAGACAACATGAAACTGCAAGTGAAACCAACAACCCTATTAACTATCAGTAACAGGCTTGCAAACAAACCAACCAACCACCAAACCAAACCCACAACCAAACACATTAGATTTGGATCAGATTACTGCCTTCTCACTCTACCCTCCTGACGGTCACAGGACAAAAGCAAGATCAGCCACCTTCCTGGTCTGAAGAAACTGAACAAAGCCTTGGAAGCTGAGAGTAACTGAGCATTTCCCACTCACTCCCAAATTCTGATGAGTTATGATTGTGTCATTGCACCTTATTAATAAAAAATAATGGATGTGAATAGGAATCTATTTCAGGAAGAAAAAATTAGTTGACTTCCTTTCTGATCTGGACAACATAGTTAGAGACACAATAAACTGTGGCACCCTGGAGTAGGGTTTACCACATATCAGCTAGTCCAAGGCAAATGTTTGCAGTACACAAGTTGTCAGCCAACAGCAAATGTATGACAATGTAGGGCATTCCCCATCAGGATTCAAGCTCAAAGTAATTTTATATTTAATCAGAGCTTATATGCGCACAAATCCTAGAGCTACATGATCATGTCTGGGTCCTTGTTTAGGGGGAAAAAAAAAAAAGGGCAATAATAATTTCAACTCCCAGTCCTTATTACTGCACTAGCAGGGAAGTAACAAATTGCTGCAGAGAATTTGGAAGCAACTTGGAGATGAAATGTGTAACTGCTATCATCTCTATATTAGAGCATAGATATTGTGCCAAATCAATACAGAACATGCCGGTCTTTCCATGCTGCATTTCCACCCATCTGCAGTGTTTCATAACACTGAACACAAGTCAGACCAAAAAAGTTGATGATATATTCAGCAGATTTGACACTTTTTTTTGACACAGAAAAACACAAGATTTTTCTGCATAAATCAGTGAAAAGCAACATATAGATGAGAACAGAGAAAATACCCTTCCCACTCTTAGAATAAAGAATACAGTCACCTTGGCAACATCTGTTTTAGAAGACAGAATTTTTTTTAATGTGTTGTTTAGCCTCTGAACTTTGGTCTCTTTGTTCTCAGACTCTTCCTGCTTTTGCAAACAGTCCAGCTGCTCTTCCTTACCAATTTCCACCAAGGCCGGCTGACATGGCTCATCCAGAACAACTTCAAACTTCTTCATGAATTTAAAGAGGGTCCTAATTACCAAAGGAAAGCAAAAATGTTACTGTGTTTTATAATCCTGGAAATCTCTCAGCTGCTGGAAATAAATGTTTCCACTGTGTTATGAGCAGGAGAAACATTCTTGCATTCAAATTTAACATCACAGACAAATCATCTAGAAGGAAAGTTCCAAATACAAGCTTAATTCCAAGCTCTGAGTTACCTGCGTATTTTTTCAACTGATTGTTTTATAGCCCAGAAGCTGACATCATTCCACTTCGAAATTTTCACAAATTCCTATTAGGAAAAGAAATAATCAATGGGATTACTTATATGCAAATATTGCACTGCATTTATATGCAAGGTGATCTTTAAAGTTGATCAGCTAAGATGATCTGGTGGTCTTAAAATGCAAGACAGTTTAGTAAGTGAGCAAATTATTGCATAGGCATCTTATTCTAGTAGTATATGTATTTATGCTAAAACTGCTGCCCAGCCAAATGTTGTGAAATCCAAAGGGACTTCACTACTGAGTAGAAAACTCCATGGCTAAATGGGACTGACCAAACATTAAAGAATTCAACCAAACCCCACACCTCAAAAAATAAATTCTTGCCAAAGAAAATGTGAAATATAGTAGGGATTTCAGTGGCCAACAGAGCTATTAAATCCAAATAATATCTGCTCCACTGTTCCTTCGATTAGATCAGTATATTGCCTGAGCAAAGCTTCCTTTTACCTTAAGTTCCTTTTCTATAGGTTGACGAAGTTCAGCGATTCTGACCTCAACACACTCTGAAAACTGCTTGTAATAATTGTATAGATTCCACAGGATGCTGCACAGAACATCTGGAAGGGACAGACAATAACAAGCTTCTTTTTAAAACAGGATATTCTTCAGTATCAAGAGAACAAATGCATCCCAGTGGTTTTTTGCAATCATGAAGCTCAGCAACACCAAAAGATGGGGTAAACTGACCAACAGTAGTCTTCATGAAAATGGGAAAAACAGCAGCATAGGCTTGTGTTTTATTTATGAGCTTAGTGATCTGTTTGGTAAGTCTTGAATACCTGATGGTCAGGCTGCTGTAAAGAAGACTCAACACATAAAATGCTAACAACTTACCCTTTTCTGCTACTTGAGGCATCAGCAAGACATGGCAGTGGAAAACCAGTAATGCTTGAAGTCGTGCATGAAACTCTCCCAGCGTGGATCCTTCAATGAAAGCTTGTAGTGTGCTGACCAGCGTTTTCAGATCCATTTGCTCAGTTTCTGAACATTGCACCAGAAATTTAGAAGGAACAGAGGAGAAAACAAGCAAAAAAAAACCCCCAAAAAACCCACTCTACATGAAAATTGTTTTCTGCTTTTTGTAAATTACCAATTAAATATCAGGTTTCTGTTAGGAAAGGTTCAAAACAAATAGGAAAGACGCATAGAGGGGAAGAATTCTAATGTAATGAGTAAAACCAGCAAACAACACACTGGAAGAAAGGAGAGGGGACAAGAGAGGCAGCAGTTAGACAGCGACCAAGGAGCTACATGCCCAATTTCAGAGTGCATCAAGTATTTAAAGAACACTTGCTATTCTCTATGAATGAACGTCTTTTTCAGTTATGATGAGCCATACTACAAATTAGTCACTGCCAGTTCCTCAAAATCATGAAGGCAGAAATACATCTTAGAATAATCTGGTAGAGAATATAGTGTCTTTAGAGCATTACCTATGAAAAAAAGACATGCTGTCCACCTGGAGATGTAAAATAACCCAAGGATCTGAAGCTTGTCAAGTAAGTACATTAATTAGTCATGAGATTGGAAGAACCCTGCCTCATGCCAGAGTATGCTACTTTCATCTTTACAATTTCACTAAATTTTGAGGAGGCAAGGGACTGACAGCTATAGTCTTTCCCTTATTTTACGGAACGTGAACACCTGCTGACAGATTTGCTAAGAACAGTATGCACCAAAACATACTTGCTGTAAGAATTCTTTAGGCTTTATACAGAATGTTAAAAGCAGTTCAGCTGGGATATGAATTATACTTTGTGCAGTTAAAAAAATTAGGTGCCTTTTCCAGCTGCAGATGGAGGCCTCCTACCCTCCAAATCTGTTTGAAGTGTTTATACGTGCATGACACACACTTACCACAGTTCTACTTTCTTTTAGATGCTTTTTACAGACATCTTTTTTCTTTACACTATCTACAATATTGGCCCTATGAGAGACACAGGTGGTTCCAGAAATAAATGCCAAGTGAAGTTCACCCTATAGAGTCATGGAATTTATCGTAGAACAAAGGGCACAAGAACTAAACCTGAAAGTGCATTGTCAAACTCTTTCATTTAGGACGTTAATTATGCATCCTTAGTAATTGCATCACACATTCATATAAGGACAGCACTTACCTTCTGTGTTTGCCTCTGTCTGTTCTTGAATATACTTCTCAATCATCTGATAGATTGAGAACCAGTGCTTTGTGGATTTCTCTACATGCTGCTTCATAATATTGTCCAAACTTACTGACCAGCAACTGGAAGCAATAAGGAAGGGGAGAAAAGAAAAAAATAAAGCAAAAATATTGTGGGTAATTTGGGCTTACAAACAGCAACAAACTTTATTCTCTGTTTCTACTAAAGGAAGATTTTACAAGATGGAACAATCTGCACATATGCTTAATATACACAATCAACTCTTGCGGATCACTGCTTGGCTGTTATTATCAAATACGAGAAGAAATGCAGGAACTAGGGACGGTAAAACAAAACCAGTCAGACAGGTTCAAAAGTTTGTTTTCACAAAATTTGAGGCAGACCTGCGGAATTCCTGATCATGGCATACTGTGGATATAAAAATTTTACATGGTCTTAACAGCAGACTGGACAATAATTTTAAGGAAAATTTAATGGGAGTTGCTAAACAGACAAAACACTGCAGGCTCAGTAAACGCTAGGAAGAAAACAGGAGAACACTAGGAAAACAGTAGGATGAAGTACTGTAGTTATCTGCCCCGCTTCTGTTCCTCCTGAGGCATATATATAGGGTCACCATGGGCTGGACATGCTCATTCTGAGCCAGTACAGCTGCTACTTTGAGGTTTTTTTTTCCCCCCACATTGTTAGTAGGACAGACACACACACACAGAGAAGCACGTTCCATGACTGAGGCAGTTCCACATTGGAATGTGTCTCTGTACAGAGATGGAAGCTTACAGTATCTAAGAAAAAGCAGGAGGGAAGGACAGTTCTTACTTCAACTCCAATCTACGCCACTGAATAATCAGTTGTGTGACCAAATCAAGATGTTTTCGCAAGGACAAAGCTCGACTGGCATTTTCCTCCCAGTCCTGGGGAAGAAAAACAAACAAATAAATAGATAGATAGATAAATCCCCCTTTAAAAAAGCCAAAAATTAGTGTTTGCACAGCAAGACTTGTGCAGTACTCTGGATTACATTCCTACTCCTCAAACTCACAGTATGGAGCAAGTTCACTTCCCCAAATCCTGGCAATGAGATAGCTTTCAGCTGTTTTTATCATGGTACCAATACAAATAAGGAAACATAAAAGAGAAAATAGTTTCCTTTAGCACTTTTCTTACCTGTGCCTTTGCAAGAAGAATTTCCAAGCCATTCAAGAACTTTGAGAGAGGACAAGAGAGTGGAAAACTCCGGATTCTGTCCATCACAACTAACAGCTGTGGAACAAAAAACAAGCATTCAACCTATAGTAACAGATCTTCAACAGAAGCAGTCATGAAGTTAAGCTAATTTGTATTAGCATAACCACCTCCTGCAAGAGATAAGAACTTAATTTTTTTTAAATTTTAAACTGTTTCCTTGTTTTAGTATAAGCTCACTAGTAGTTCAGTGAAGGCCAGTGCACTCTGGGAAAGGAGCACAAATGACCTAATGCAAAGAGTTCAAATCAGTTGTGAGTTTCTGCGTCACTCTAAGAAATATAACCTGAGGGCCACACAGGCCTCACAAGTGGGACCAAAGATATCCATTTTAAAGCACTATGAAAGGAAGCATTTTGGGAAAAAACAGAAGCCCAAAGAACAAAAGACCTTGAGAATCTTTGAGGTATGGCAGGTTGAAGATGGCTTAAAGTAGGCAGTAAATACCACTTAGCGTTTCATAGCAAAAACAGAACAGCTAATAATATCTAATACCTTTTAAGTATTGGAAGAAGAAACAGGTATGACTTCAAAACATCTGCATAAGTAATACAGACAACATCTAGGCAAGAGTACGCATGCACATATCTATGCATATCTACACACTCATTTACACCTAAATGCAATTCTGAAATGCTCCAGTTTTCCCCAAACATTTGTTGAAGTGTCTTTACCTGCATAAGTACTGGATGCTCTGGCCACTCCTGCAGCAACCCATTTACTTCTTTAGCAAAATTATCAAGTACAGGTTGGCACTGTCGGACTTGCTGAATATTAGGATGTTGGTAAAAGTCATAGGGGCCATCTTGATGCAGAACAAGATCTGAAGTTAATTCCTCAAAAAAGGTATTGTGAAGAAGAGTGCTAACTAGAAGTTGGCTTCCCAAAAGACTATCATTCATTTCAGCACCTAGGAAGTAAAAAAGGGAAGACATTACACATGCTATTAATTCTTTCTTCAGTTGAATAGAAAAGGGGTTTTTTCCTGTATCTCAAGCCTTAGCATGTTATGTATTGCAAGGACACATGAATATGCCACACATAAGCCATGAGATGGGAGTATGGAAAACAGACATACTTAAAGTTTACATCCTCTATTTTATTAAATTTTCATATAAAACTAAAATCAGCATTCTAAAGGTGGGCTGTAATCTTGTCAGAAGACCACAGTTCCTCTGTGCATAAATTGACATCAAGGAGAATTATTGTTACATATAATTATATTATTATTACTACTACTACTACTACTACAAAATTAGCAATGAGGCTCTGTGAAAAAGTAATCCAACACACACACAAAAAAATCAGATATATTACACTTCAGGTATTAACAGAAAAATAAGTTTCTATAGAAACAGCATCCCTGTTGCATTATCTGCTGCTTCTTAACTGCATACATATACATTTATCACATCAGAACTGAAGTATAGATTTGCTTGAGAGGTGATGACCCCAAGGTCTCACACTTCGTTATGATGATTTACACATCAAGTGTGCCAAAATTCGGGGGGGAAGGTGAGGGGGTGGGTGTGGGGTGTGGGGGTGGAAATCACACTTTTTCTTTTTGTTAATTACAGAAGCTCTATTTAAACCGAATTCTTTTATTAATTTAATTGCAAATTTTAATTCCAGGAAATTTCTGCAAGTGCATTGTCTTCCACAGGATTATGCAGATGCAAGTGATCAGAATTTCACTTTACTAAAGTAGAGTAGATTCAGTTTACTCTTAAACTGTGTTGGTCTTATGTATTAACAAGTGGAATAAAAAAAAAATCCATAAAATAATAAAAACAAAAGCATTCCACCAAGACAATTCTTAACGTGGGGCAAATTCTTTGGAAAAGAAAATTGGTATTTGTGCGTTTTCCCCACAATAGGTCTGTTTCTTGACCTACAGTACAATTAATCTGAAACAAATCATTACAAAGCTAAACCTGCACATCTGAAGAATTGCTAGCAATCTTACCAATTAAAGGATAGAATTGCGACACCAGGCATGCACCAGTCTGATAGCAGGAAATAAATGTACTGAAATAATGTTTGGCTTGATGAGAAGGCAGACTCTGTTGATACCACAGGGATCGAGCGAAGTTTAAGCACAACTGTTGATGAACCATCATTACTGTTTGCATAGAGCTCTTGGACAAAAGGGCTCTATCAACTTCCAGCTGGTCTTCCAATGGATCTTCAGTTTCCATTTTTTCTTCTAGGCTTGCCTGAGCTGTGATATCTTCAAAGTCCTGCAAATTACATGACAGTCAAAGGTCAATTATATTTTCTCCATGTAACGCCTCCCCTCCCCACCACCCTTTTAGCACATTGTCACAATGCCAAAAAATGCAAATGACTTGGAGCTGGCACTATATGGGTACACTGCCTACCTCACAGCTCAAATGTCAGTATGAAAGAGAACACAGGTGAACAGAACAACTAACCAGCATAACCACAGCAAGCAAGAGTGCAGTATAGTGAGCCCTGAGCTGCTGCCAACTTTTATCTGCTGATAAGCTACACCTCAACATTGTTTGGTCGCTTGAAGGTCTGAACTATTACATCCCAGCAACACACTGATGCACATAATTGTGGATTTCTGTACTGCAAAACATTGCTCAGTGAAGACGCTTCAAAAATGGTTCAGTGATGCAGCCAGTTAAATAAAAAAAAAAACACTCACTGCTTTATTTATTCAAGATTTATTCTTCCTCAGAGGTAATTAAACCTCAGCAGACCTTACATGCTAAATGAATCAAACTCCAGAATTTTACAACAAATAAGTAATGGTGTTGTCATTCAGTAACTTGGGACTATTCAAGCTGAACCACAGGACAGTTCAAGTCCAAAAGTTAATTCCAAAAACTTTCTACAAGCAGAAGGGAAAATAAACTAAAAGCACAGAACTTAATACCTTTCTATCAAAATCTACCATGCATTTTTTCTTTCGGCTGAAGGAAAAACTGCTTAATTCTTCATCTTATTTTTTATATAGCATGCCTTTTCAGGAGCTACTACAGACATAATTTTTTGTGTTTCATTACAGTTGCTACCTTTTCGTGAAGGGGAAATCTCCTCCTAAATTCTTCTTCTTCCTCTTCTTCCTCACTTCGTCCTTTTCCATGACTTTTACTTCTGTATCTGTACAGACTGCGTTCCATTGCCTCCCGCTCTTGGGCACGGCGTTCCTGTTCATCCCATTCATTTATAATTGCCTATGAAAACACAAAGCAGCCTGCTTTTACACAAATTCATGTTTAAAATCACGTCATATTTCATCAACAGGGCAGCATCTATCTTGTTTGGCTCTCTCCTCCTCTATAGTCTACATCGGTATAAATCAAAGCCATCTAAGTTGAAGGAAGATTTGTAAATTGCCCTCCCAACAAACCTATGAGGAAAAAGCACAGAAAACAGTATGCAATAGAGTGCTTGGCGAAGTTCTAGTCTCCTTTCTTCAACATTTTATAAAGGAACTCTCTGCAAAGTTTGGTTTTGGGGGTTTTGTTTGAGTTTTTTTATAAATAAAATCTTTGGTAACCATTACTGGCTATGATTTTATGTCTTGATTAATCCCAACAAGTTGAATAATAATATGCTAAAATTCTCTTTTATCAATTCCATCTTCCACTAGATCAGGCTACTCAGATCCCCGTCCAACCTGACCATCAACTCTTCCACGGATGGGGCATCCACAACTTCTCTCGGCAACCTGTGCCAGTGTCTCACCACCAACATTGTAAAAAATCTCTTCTTTATGTCCAATCTAAATCTACCCTTTTTCAGTTTAAAACTGTTGCACATTGTCCTGTCACTACAAGCTTTGGTCAAAAGTCTCTTTCCATCCTTATAAACTGCCTTTGTATACCAAAAGGCCACAATAAGATCTCCCCAGAGCCTTCTCTTCTCCATGCTGAACAACCCCAACTCTGTCAGCCTTTCTTCACAAGAGGGGTGTTCCAGCCCTCTCATTACTTTCGTGGCTCTCTTCTTGACCTGCTTTAATGGATCCACGTCTGTCTTGTACTGGGAACAAAGCAGTTCTGTGCAAGAAACATGGCCACTGGCATTCAGATGTTACCTGACACAGATGCCTAAACAGCTGCAGAGATTTCTGGTCCATCTCTCCTCTGGATAATACATGGCATCGAAGATGCAACAAGGCATTCACTAGGAGCTGTTCCAGTGTTGGGCAAGGCTGCTCTGCTCCCTCAGTTTCTCCTTCAGAGTGCTTCACAAAAAACTTTTTAAGTCCATGAAGGACCTCAACTGAATTCACCGAGCATAAAATTTCTGCACGAGCAAAGTAAGTGGGGAAGGCACAGCCGATAGAAGGGAATGCCAACAAAGAAGCGAGGAGGTTGGTCAGATCATCTGGACGCACAAAACTTTTGAGCGCTGTATAGACTTCAGAAGCCACTAATCGCATGCCATGTTGCAACTGTAAGATGGCAGCTTGCAGTGGAATGATGGCATCAGGGAATATAGCATATTCCTCTGCCAGGTGTTTTCTAAACTGATGGTGCGATTGTTGCCAAGATGCTTCTTCATTTAAGAGGTTTTGTATTGCCTGGAGTGATTTAGGTCTTTCCCCACGGAGGAACTGCAGAAGGCGGGCTAAAAGATCTTGGACTGAAGAAACCCGTGCTATGCTGTTGACATACTGGTGAGCCTCCTGGTATAGGCAATCATAGGTTGGAGCTGGAGGCCTGAAGGCCTTTTTTCTGGAAAGACTGCTTATTTGCTCCTTCAACCTTTGCATTCTTTCATGCAACAATCTGTTAAGAAATAACATTGACCAGTTTAGACATATAAACATGTTTATATATGTATAACGTAACAGCTAGATATATAAAAAGATCCATCAAAAATATTCTGCTAGTTTGTTTGAAACAACAAATAAGGAAAAAACAAGAAGCAACACCTGTATAGCATGCATATGTACTTCTCCGCCTGCCCCCTCCTTCAAAAGACTTCAGTTACTTTTTTGCTTGCTACCTGACAGCTCTGTAAGCATTAAGGAAAAAGCAGTATTACTGGAAGCAATTGGTAAAACTCAGCCATTCAGAACTTGCTTTCAATGACTATTGTTCACTTTAAGCAATAGCATAGAGCAATCAGATCCTCTACGTGTATAAGAATGAAACCTAAAACTTCCTTAATAGTGGAAAATCATGAATAATACCTAGCTTTTATCTCCATGTACAAAGAATACCTGGAAACCTGCACAAAGGAGAAACCTCTGTTCACGTAAAAATTCCCCCTCAAGTTCCTCAGATATAAAAACAACAAAAAAACCTAACAACAAAACAATGGCTACAAATTCTGAATGTCAATAATGTAATCTATGTGGTAAGATATTTAATTCATCCACAGCACCCTGGGCAAAGGCTGTTGCTAAAATACACATCTGGAGACTTCTACCCACTACAAATCAGTCCAGTCCAAGAACTCTGCAAAATAGCACTGGCATCTATTGAGGCCTTGAAGAGTTACAGCAATAGATACACATTCTGTCTCATTTCAATTTGTTGATAACATTGTCACATATTAATGAAACTACCATAATTTACACATATGGCTTTATTTTCACTTCTGGGCATAGCTTCAATTTTATCAAGATATGAAGGCCACTGCTTTAATTGTATTTACAGCAGTAAAAAGTCATTGTAAGTAAACAGAACAGCTTCTGTATTTTTTTTTTTACCACCTCAACATGCAAACTGATACTTTCAAATCAGCAACCCTTATTTCTACAGAAGAACAGAAAAATCGTAAAGCTGTGAGGAAAAGCTTTGGAGCCTGCACATCCAAAGATGAAATTTCCGATCTAAAAGGGAAGAATTAAGTATCTAATAGAGAAGAATTAAGTATCTAATAGAGAAGAATTAAGTATCTAAAAGAGAAGAGTTGAGTGCCTGAGATGTCACCTGAGATGGGGATGAATGTAGTTGCTGACTGCTTCATCTTCAATACTTTTTCCTGTATGCAGCTGGGACGAGATATCATTTGTTTTCCATTCACACTCCAGCTGGTATAACTAAAAAGGAAAGAATAAACCATTCTCTGAGGTTCTGGTTTTGGTAACCAAGTAGGTGCATTATCTTGGACATTAAAAGAAGTTTTAACTGTGTAGTTTAAAAATCATGACCAACGATTTGCCCAAGAATACCCACGTCAAACTCCTTTGCATTGATTTGATACATTACAGAGGTAAAAGCCAACTCAGCTCCACACTCACCTCTTCTTTTGCATACTTGAGCTTGTATTCTCTTTTAACAGCCGGATCAAACCTGGTCTGCGGAAGCCACACCTGGATCTGCACCAAACCAATATTCACCCAGAGGCTTCCTCGCCAAGCTGTCTCTGGTAACCCCTTAAGCCCTTCCCCAAAGAACTGCTGCAAACAGGTGAGCAGGAGAAACAGGAATTCTTTCGGAAGTAACTCCTGATCGGTGATGCTTTTAAGTATCTTGAGAAGGTACTCATATGCAACAGGATCCTTGTGGTAGAGTTTCTCACAGCACTCCAAAAATTCTTCTTGAAGATCCACTGGAACCAGATCCACCAGGGCAGAGAGTTGTCTGCCTAGCATTATTCCTTGTAGTCTGGCATCTGTGTATCTGGAGGCCGAAGAATGAAAAAAGTTTATACGTGGTAAGCAAACTTCTGTAACATGCCTGATTTAAATAACATATGTGGAAGAGAGGTCTTAATACCTAAAATCTGCTATCGAAGAGACAGCCAGGTTGGTCCACAGTGCTGTGCTGACTTCATGAAGCTGCTGTGCTCTCTCCATCCATTCTCCCAGTGTCACATGGGATGATGACAGAACAGGAAGCCCACTCACATCCCACTGGCTTGTCTTGCTGCTGCTAGTTAGAATTTCAAAGAAGCACTTTGAGAAAACGGCTCGGGTCAAAATACCTGGGCCCTAAATTAAGAGATTAAGAGTTAGATTGTTCAGATGCAACTTGCACTGACTGTGCTAGAACTTACAGTATTGCTTTAGAAAACTGTTGAGTTATTTAATAAAAAAGTATTCAGCCTAGTTGTTTGATTAGGTCTGAAGAGACAAACCTTCATAGAACAGTTCATATGGGATTTAGAAAAGTTCTTTTCCTCTGTTGCAGGTAGTGGTCTCCAAGTCAACCAGTAGTCTGGGTCCAAGGAGAAAGTACTGCTCCAAAAGGATGCTAACACAGCATTTACTAGTTGAGTCGACAGAATAGACATTTCTTCAGGGGATATCTAAGGAGAGAGGAAAACCTAGAGCTGAGAATAATTTACAGGGAGCAAGAGAATCAAGCACACACACATACAAAACAAACAAACGAGTATGACACTGTTTTTCAGTAGGGATAGTACAAGATATTCCTCAAGATCCTTTTCATATTCAAATTCACATAGCCTTTGCTTGCATCTCTTCTCAACAAAAAGTACACTTTCTGAGGTCAGAACTGCCTCCTTCTGTCTAGTGGAGTACACAGTGTGTTTATGGACCAAGTTTTCAGAATACAGCCTCTAGTCTACAACTGTGCAACCTTTTATTATAATACATGAGGTTGCATAAGTGTGAAACAATAAGGCTATCCAATACTCTCTGCTCTGAAGCATTTAAAGTGAACTTGCCGATTTACTGACCTGTGGGAACACAACCACTACTGTATCATTGCTAAGTATCTACTGATTAGAATTTCTCTGACATCTTAAATGCTCTATGGAAAATGCATCACATAACTGTCTCAGTCTATTTGATCTGCAACACAGACCTAAAAAAATGTAGAGGCACAGGAACAGAGGCAAGTATTTTTCAGCATAAAATTCCTTCGAATACACAGATACAGCCAGGCTGGCACCTGCCAGTCAATCAATTTCGTGTTTTCCATTAGGTCACAGATAGATGAATGGAACAATAGTACTAAACTAGATCATATAGAACTATGTTATCTAAGACTCTGTTGTGTTTCATTTATGTTTGAATGTTGTGTTTTAATTATGCTTTTTGCAGGCTCACAGTTAATAAACTTTCTTATTAAAAGGAGGAAAAATGACTATCAGGCACAGCTAGAAAAACTGCATGTCAAAAATCTTATAGAGGTATACTTATTTTGAAGAGTCTGCTGAAAACTTCTGCAAGACTAATTAAACTAAAACTCGTTCTTACTTCATTAAGGTGTAACAAATGCCACAGTCCAGATAGCTGGTGAGAAGCAGCTGGTGTCAACTTCAGGGAAAAAGCTATAAGCTGAACTAGATCTGAACATATGCTTAGTTCTTGACTGCAGTTCTCCCTGTAGCAGGTAAAAGAAATACAACCTAAGTAATGCTTAAGCAGGGCACATGAAATAAATAATTTGGATAGTAAAGCAAACTGAGAATGGCAAAGTCACAATAATAAAGACTCCCTGAAAGATTAAAATGACAACATTTTAAACATTGGAGAGCAAGAAACACTCAAATAATACTCAAAACACTTGCATCCTTCAAAGTTAGCAAAATCTAAATACAACAAAAAGGGGGAAGAGGAGGAGTCTTCTGTAGTTACAAGCTGCATGTTCAGCAAAGCATACAAAACATTTGGAGACAAACTGCCTTCCAGCTTTGTAGTTCTTGTGAAAATCAGAACTTTGCTGAATTTAAGAGTCAATCAGTGATTCTAGGAGTCTCAACGCACAAAAAATTACTTTCACCAAAATCCATAAATGAAGAGCTCTCTTTTGAGGAATGGTAAAACAAACAAAAAATAAATACACTTGGCCCCTCAAAACAACACTAACACTTCTTAAATTAATAAATTTAATTTAAAATACAAGTGTATGTGTCTAGTTTGCACAAAAGGAAGCAAGCATGCTAGTGTACTTTCTCCATCAACAGGTTTAACTCAGTCTTTCTGCAGTAGCCCCCAGCAACATGGCAATAAACATCTTCATGTTAATTCCTAATATGAAGGACTCTTCTATTTCATTAAAAGGCAAATACTATATATGTAAATATACATAAGCATGTGTGCACCACATACATATATACACATATACACACAGCCATATATATATGTACACACACACAGAGATTTACACACAAATGTGAAGTACTGAATTTACAGCTTTTAGCTAGGGATTCTGAATCTCATGAAAGGAATATAGGATTTCTTTCTCCAACCTTCTTCTTACCTTCGTGCACAGGCCTTGGACACATAATCTCCTGTCAATTTGTACTGCCAGAGCACGCCTACGTACTCCATTGCAGGCCACAGCTGAACTCGACTGCAGAGCTGGTTTAACAAGGCAGGGTCTAATTGGTTGGAGATGGTATCTTCAGTAAACCTTTCTTCTGAATGACTATATATAATTCCTTCTGCTCTCAGCTGTGAATGTACAGCTTTCAAAAAAATCTTTAGTTGACCTGTTTGACAGAGCGTAAGAGGCATATAAATGCATGTACTATATTTCTTTCCAGTGAACATTTCACATCCTTTCCATTTGCATACAAAAACAATCGAGATTGCAAAAATCATCCTGTTAGGCTCTTCAAAAGTGTTACCTACCCAGACTAACGTCTTCTAAATGATTGGCTCTAATTACCAGGCCATCAGCTTGCAGCAATGCTTTCTTCATCTTCCATCCAGTGGCAGCTATTTTCAGGCAGCACATTTTTTCCTGCCATCTACTTTCTCCAAAGGCCAGTCTTAGCTCCAAGATGTTAAGTGGTTTGCTGAGAGTTTTTAACTGAGAAAAACATTCCATGGCCAGTTTATCCTGGAAACACAAAAAGGACATTTGAACAAGTGGAAATTTATTTCAGCAGTGCAAACAAAATAACAAACAAGATCTGTGACTGCAGTCAGAACTAGGATTTCAAAGGCACATGCACACGACTGAAGTACAAGTACAAACCAACCTGCAGCAACTTAAAAAATCTTTTGTAGCCCTACTCAATACAGCAGGAAGACAGAAATCTAAATAGCTGGCCACAATTCCTCCTTGTTAAGTTTTTTTATTCCTTCATGAAGGAGAAGATATAAATTATGCAGACAAATAATATCTCAACATGGCAACTTACCTAAACTAAGGGCAATAAATACACAAATTAATTTCAAAAAGGCCAGACGCTACTGTTACTTAAAAGAAATTGGCATTTAACACCTGCAATTTAAATACATTAGCCTACAAAAATCTCCCAAAATTCTCAGTAACCACTGAATGTTCTTTAAAGCCCCACAAAGTAAGTACATGCGTTTTTGAACAGCTGAGTATCTTTGAGACATAAGGCTGTAAAAACCTAGGTATAATTACTGATTACCAATGTGAGCAACCTACATATCTACTTGTGCCCTGCTTTTAAAAAGGGACTTAGATTCTTTAGAAAATTTTACTGTAAGATTTTTTAAATTTTTACCAAATTACAACAATTGGTGAAATAACTTTAAAAAACCCCCAAAACTGTCAGAGTTAAGAGGCTTTTTCTTGGTAGGTCATAAGGCAGCCCTATCCTGTGCTGTATAAAAGGCAGTACATGGTCTATTCTATATACACATACGTTCACTAAATAAGCAAGTGGCATACTGATATTCACAAGTCTCTAGAACAGAGCAAGTAGTAATATGTTTGTGCACCACTCTGTATTAAATAGCTGCTATCTATACAACGCATAATTAATAGTAGAGATGCTACCTGGATATATTTCACAAAAAAGATGTACATTAACATATGCTGAAATTGCCTTTTTAATCAATCTAACACGTCCAAAAAGATTGTCTTTTTCCTGACCTGGAAAGCAAGTGCTGCAAATCTTTATGATTATTTTAAAATGTGTTTGGACATTGCTGGAAATACATATCTTTTACAGAGTACTGATACCTTAAAAGGAAGAGGTCTTCCTAGAGACTTCTGTAATATCTTCATACTGGCAGAAATACCAGCAGGATTGGCTAAGCAGCTCTGAATGTGCTGTGAAACAGACTGAATTTCCTTGGAAACCCTTGGAGATATAAAAAAAAAAAAAAAAAAAAAAAAAGTAAAATAAAAGCCCACACAGTTAACTCGGAATTTGAGAAAAAAGGCGAAAGGACACACGAGAAAGGAAAGTCCCTTCTCTTAACTTTGCATTAAAGGGGCAACCTAACTTTAAAATACAGAAAATGGGTAAAAATTCTAGATCGCCATTTGGGTAAGAAGCCTCCCAACTCTAAGAAACCTAAATTTTAAAAATTAACAGCTATTTAATACATTGCTTTTGCATCACAAATGGAACACAACTTGGACACTAACAGCAATGGTAATTAGCGATAATTTTACAAAAGGGTAATTTATATAACCATTTAACAGAAACACAAACCAAAGCAACTCACTTGTGCTGATCTGATCCGATAAGCATCTGAGGAATTCTGTCAATTAGATGCTTCATAACCCAGTGCCAGTGCAGAGACAGAAGGGACAACCCTGATGAATCCACTATCAGAGTGTCAGAGATCGCCCAGAACCGGTCACGCCACAGCAAACAGTATAAAATCTAACAACAAGCCAAAAAGGTCACATTTTTCCCATTGTTGAGCCCTGTACGTTACAGAATACTTTTTACTTCAAGCAAGAGAAAAATGCAGAAACATTGTCACTTCCATTAATTTCAGAATCAAGCAATGCTTTAATACTTAGCGGCACACAACTAGGACTCAACTGCACATTCTCCGCAACAGCAAGGCTCTGCTGGCAGGTGGAACTATGCAAGTCAAAACCAAGCAACCCCTGCACCAAGTCTACAATGTCATTGTCAGGTTTCAGCAAAATGATCTTCATGGTCTGAAGAGGGTGAGGGTGAAGTGAACCACCCCTGTGACCTGCATATCAGCTGTCCAGGTTCAGGTATCTGAGATGGATATCCCTTTATCATTAGTGGAGAGAAACAGGCACTTCTATGGCACAATGGCTATCTAGATCCCAAGTGTGTACATTTAGGTAAAATAATTCCCACCCTGAGTATCTGCAGGCTGAAAACCTACATTCCACACAGAAGAAATGAGAAGACAGTGAATGAATACAGCTCCTGAAACAAACATGATCATTTGTCTGGTGTCAGGAATGTTCTGAATACCAATAGAAACACTCCAGTTTATTTCATGGTCCCTGAAACTAATATTTTGCACACTGATTTCACATAACTCCCACAAACATACTATGAAAAGTCTACTTACATCATGCATGTCATCATCACTTAAGGCCACCTGAGTAGACTTCACCCAGTGAAATGCAAATGCATCCCAAAGTTCAAAGAAAGCAGCAAGATTGACCACAATTGCATGAGGAAGGCAGTTATAACTTCCTGGGTCTGAGGTTTGGGGAAGAGGGAAGAAAGGGAGAGAATGAATACTCCAGCCACATCACACGACAAGTAAGGGTCAATTTCTGATTGCTAGATCCTCTCCGTGGTTGGGGGAAAAAAACAAACTGAAAAGATCTAAGAATCAAAGTAACAAAAAGTACTCCTTCACTATTTGCACAATTCTCTATTGCCTCTACACATTTAATATAATAAAAAAATCCAGAATGAAGGAAACATTGATCAAGTGCTTCTATGCAACATACCATCTTCATCACTACATTGCTCCCCTTTGTAAGCATCCTAATTACATTAAACAATAGAAAGAGGATTAGAACAAAGGCATGTCTGAAGAACTTGGCTTTTCTTACCAGGCAAAGACAAAAAGGCAATTCCAATTTCTCTCCACCGTCTTCCTTAAGTTTAGATAATTAAGAGAGAAATGACATGTACTCATTACCCAGTAGAGGCTGGACATAAATGCTGCAGCATAAGTCATATCTGATTTAAGCATAATGTGTCAAATATCACGTTAGTCCTCATCTGACTGCTTTACATTCACCCAATCTTCCTTTGCACACTCAGGACTCACGATGTTTAAAGTACACATTTCATAGCTGTGCGAATTAACCATATTTCAAATTGACCATAGAACCAAAAGGAACAGTGAACGTCAACTCACCTTTGCGGAAATCTAGAGACATTCTTAAGACACTATTTCTTGGCTTCTTGCTGGTAATCAAATTCTTCTCAGTGTAGCTTCTTTTTTCTCGTTCAAGAAATAATACTGCCCTGAATTAAAAGTAAAGTTGTTAGAAATTCAGTATCATTTTAAAGCCTCTTCCTTATGAGAACAGTGAACTACAAAAAGTGTTATTTGATATTTCACTGTGTTATGAAACAAGAATCAAGCGCAGCATAATAATTGCTTGAATATGGTTTCTGCAAAAGCAAGCTTCACAAAAAGCAGATTCCTGACTTCAGCAATCACCAGGAAGGAAGAAGTAGCGAGCTACTAAGCAGATGCAACACCACCACTTGTAGGATATATAGGCAGTAGCTTCCTTATAGAATAACTGCAAAATCTGTGTACTTTTTGTTCTTATTAGGAAAAGCAATCCAAATCTAAAAGCAGGGCAACGATTTAAGTTATGTCAGAGATTTCACACTGCTGCTTCTGCCCCTTTTATGTTTTATCCCACAGTTCTGGTTTGTCCTTGAATTATTCCAGCCTATATGGAATGCTGGGAGCCCTGCTTCCTATATTAAGTGATTTGTTTTAGTCTGCAACTTCTGATAACAGAAGAATTTAATTATCAGGCAGGTTTCACACAGGTGTTTTAGATCACATCTATCAAAACCTCAAAACATACTTGGCAGATACTGCAAGTGTTTATACAACACTGATTACAGTCACTGGGCAGTCTTCACCAGCTTTTTTTGTAACGTACCGATTTGCTACAGACTTCAGAAGGATTAGAAGCTGATCTGTGTGTTCCATTTCTGTATCAAAGTTCATCGAATTTCTAATGATATCCAAAAACTGCATATTCCACCTTGGGTCCAGTGGCATCACATGTTCATCTGGGAAGGCAGACAAGATAAGACAGTACAGCAGTGGAAACATTATTCAGTGAAAGACTTTCCTCCATTTCCCTGCCTATGCAAGAACATTAGAGAAAGAAAGAAGGAAGCCTAAAAGGAAGGCAGAGTCTTAAGGTCCCTCACTTCAGATACCCAAACAGAAAAGCATTAAGCTGACTGTAGGTTCTGTAAAACAGAACCATGAAAGTAAATTAACCAGTGGTCAGAGCACCTGAAAAGAGCCTGGAAACTCAAGTCCAACTCCCTTTTCCTTCACAGTCCAGGCAAGATACCCAGGACCACCCATAAAGGGTCCAGTGTCACTGTATGTAGCTTTCATACACCTAAAAAGCTTGGAAAGGAAATCACAGGCCTGAGTTCCCTGTAAAACAGAGGGAAAATTACAGGCCTCAATATAGGTTTCAGATGGGCCAACATAATAAATGCTGGAAAAAAACTGGATGCCTAAACTATCTAGTCAAAAAGGCACTAGATATATGCATCACTTGAGAACATCACTCAACTCTGAGCTGTAGGAATACTCCCGGGTCACAGTTACACAATCAGGATTCGTGGTCATAGCGCTCATATCACATTTGCATAGGATGAATGCATTTCATTGCCATACTTGCATGCACTTCTAGACAGCAAGAATGGCTTTGTTGTTATTTCTTTTGCAACAAAAGCAACATACAGTTAGAATTTATCCTTTGTTTTGTTACACACATTTCTTAAGAAGGGTTGCAGTATGTTCAGAGAACACATAAAGGAAGCACCAAGGCCTTGCATCACTTTTTTTCAGAAGTACCTGTCATAGTTGGCTGTAGCAACTTGATCATGTTACTGACTCCAGATGAGAGAGGACTGGCATAGAAACTACCCAGGGCTACAGCACCTGCTTCCAGCTGAATCCGCACTGGATCTGTAGGTGATGGGGAGAAAACATAGGTGTAACAGAGAATTTTGTATAAATAAATAAAACTAACTACCTGCACAAGCTGCCTGAATCTCATCTGTGCATGCACTCCGGACATGCTGGTTGCTCTTATTTTGTATTAGCTCTAAGAGGTCTTAAAAGCAGTCAGAGTATCACAGCCAAAGAGATAAATCCAGTAAAGAGTTCTAGTTAAACTGGTGATATTTCATGTATGCTATTAAAAATATGATTTGTGAAAATCCATGAGTTTATACGTTCAACTCTGCCTCTCAGTACCTCTGTTTTTGATTCTTTTCTCCCAATTAAAAAAAAAAAATTCACATAAGAGCATACCTGCCATTAAAGTAACTTTCTAGATATTTTATAGTTTATAGACAAACCTGCCTGGAAAGACAGCAAGATCAAGGAGGAGCAATCCCATTCATGTAGGGACAATACAGTCCGAGATTTCACACCATACTAAGAAAAGTGTGTGAATTACTTGGACTAATGCCTGTCTAAATACTCCACAAGTTCAATGTGATTAATGTAATTAAGCAATGAATACGTCATCTCAGCTGCTATCCTGAGTGTTCAGGCAATACACCTTCAAGAAATCTCAGTTCTGCAGTTTCCTGTCTTTCTAACCATTTGCTTTTTAACACCAAATAAACAGAAGGCATTTGAGTGTTTTTACTATCACTATTAAAAAAAAAAAAGTGAAGAGAAAGCCATATTTGCTTACATAGACCAAGAAAGAAGTATCCAAAAATAACTGTAATTCAGAAGCAGTACAAGTTACAGACATACTTCAAACAATAAAAGGCAACATTTAGCCCCAAATCTCCTCTTGTCCCTAATACGCACAACCTGTTTCTGTCTCTCCCTGGAGCCTCAATACCCTTGATTTAGTGTACTGTGGTAGGCTGGCCCTGGCTGGGGGCCAGGTGCCCACCAACAACACTCTGTCCCCTCCTCAGCTGGGCAGGGGACAGAAAATATAACTAAAAGCTCGTAGGTTGAGATAAGGACACAGAGATCACTCGGCAATTACACTCAAGGGCAAAATGCCCAGGGAGGTGGTGGAGTCACCATCACTGGAAGTGTTCAAAAAACATGTGGACATGGCGCTTCAGGACATGGTTTAGGGGGCATGGTGGTGTTGGGTTGATGGTTGGACTTGATGATCTTGAAGGTCTTTTCCAACCTTAATGATTCTGTGATTCTGAAAATGGACTCGACTTGGGGAAAATTAATTTAATTTATTGCAAATCAAATCAGAGTACGATAATGAGAAAATAAAAACTAAAACGCTTTGCCCCAACCCTTCCCTTCTTCCTGGGCTCAACTTCACTCCTAATTTCTCCATGTCCTCCCCGCTGAGTGGCGCAGGGGGATGGGGAATGGGGTTGTGGTCAGTTCATCACACATGGTCTCTGCCGCTCCTTCCCCCTCAGGGGGAGGACTACTCTCACTCTGCTCCAGCTTGGGGTCCCTCCCACAGGAGACCGTCCTCCACGAACTGCTCCAGTGTGAGCCCTTCCCACAGGCTGCAGTTCTTCACGCACTGCTCCAGCCTGGGTCCCCCCACGGGTGCCGCCCTTCAGGAACAGACGGCTCCGGCCCGG